TGGAAAATGTCAGCTCGATTGGATCACGAGAAGTGGGTTAAAAAACGAGCGAAAGATTTGCACGGTCCTAAGCAAGCAAGCTAACTTAATATAAAGGATTTAAAAATATATTCGCCTGTGGAGGACGCGGGGATCGATCCCGCGACCTTTGGCATGGGAAGAGAGGGCCCTACCAACTGCGCTACTCCGCCACGGCCTGTGGAGGGGTTACGCTCTGGGCTCTTACACTGTGACGTTCAGCCAAAGCCATGAATGAGTTATATTTGAATATATGTAAAATAAAATTTTTTGCCTAAAAAGTGTAAAATTTTGGGATTTTTTTCACGAACATTGATTGTCTCGCACAACGAGTCTGTGTGGAAAATGTCAGCTCGATTGGATCACGGGAAGTGGGTTAAAAAACGACCGAAAGATTTGCACGGTCGTAAGCAAGCAAGCAAGCACGCAAGCAAGCAAGCAAGCACGCACGCAAGCAAGCAAGCAAGCGAACTTAATATAAAGGATTTAAAAATACCCCATAATCATAGCAGGTACCACCACAGTCAGTACGCACTGCTGTTACATTTTTAAGAATAGTTTTGAAAAAATTTTTAGCCCGGGCAACGCTGGGTATATAAGCTAGTGCTCTATAAAGTAAATTCGTCAATACGAATCACAACTACTTGAGGCCTGTGGTATGAAGTCCTTAATTTTGAGTCGTGCATATACATGAACTACTTTCGACATTGAAATGGTTTACTTCGATTGCTTTTGCATACAGAGTATTGCCTGTTTTATTTAATTTTTGATTAATACCAATACCTTCGTAACGGTATTATAAGTCGTATCGAACACCACTGCAAAGTATGATCTTGAGTTTTGATTGTGGTGTGCTGATCTTTAAAGGTGTATTGAGAATTTTTGATTCTGCTACTGATGCTCCTGCTGTTATGGAGTGACTCATGCAGCCAGCTATGGCTGCGGGGTTTGGTCGTACATGTTATGTATATCGTTTGTTGTTGGATTTGAATCACAGTTCCTATGGTCACTGTTACATTGTTTTTGTGGCTTTATTTTGGTGATTTTGAGGACGGTTTCGTCTGGCCATGTTTGTTTGTTGTAGTACAGAGTTGGCCTGATAACTTTAATCTACATTGTCTTATGGTTGTTATTGTTTGACTTGCACCCCACTGAGATTTTTGTACACAGCATTGAAATGCGGTGTTTTTTTCTGGAAGACTTTGCTGTTTTTTACAGGATTTTTTCTGTTGCATGTAGTCACTTTAAGATGTTTCTTGTTAATCTTTTTGTTTTGTTGCGGTTATATCCGAGTCAAGAGCCGCATGGCTCACAGGGTTATACCTAATAAATGAAGAAAATGAATATATTACAACTAGCCTTTTGCCCGTCCAAGGAGAGGTGTATTGTAATAAATCAGAAACTTTCAAGCGAAAAGCAGACTGCGACGTGATATTCATTGCATTAATGCGTGGGCAATTTGTAAGGGTGTGGTGAAACAGACCTATTTAATTTTAAGGTTATAATCCCTTGTTCATCATGACGTCCTTTTTACTTTGATGTCTCAACAGCGTTACGGAGACCACGTGACGTGAGGGTTCTGCCTTTGTAGTGAGGGTTGTAAGTTGACGCCGAGGAGGAGGAGGCGCCTCGACCCCCCATGTGGAGTGACGGCAGCCGCTAATTATTATGAATGGGGGGGGGGGTGTCCATTTGGAGGAGGTCACCTTATAATGATTATTAATGAAGGGGGCTGTTCGATGTGGAGTGACGTCACCAGCTCATGATTACGCGATGTAACACAATTTTTGTTCCTGGGTAGTAAGTGTTATTTCCAACCTTTGCTTTTGTGAGCAGGACAGTGATATTTTTAAATTGACCTATTTTCAATAAGAAAACGGGCGAATGTGTATTTTTATTCATATAGAGTCAGAAACAAACAACATATGAATCTAAATTAATATGTATTCATACTAAAGTGATACAAGAATGTCTACAAAAGATTTAGAAGGGAGTAGTTTTTAGAGATTTACGATTATACTGTAAATCACTTTCACGAATCAGCCCCCAAATGTAGTCTCCCATCATGTTCTCGTTATACTGTCCTTGGTAGCAGCGTTCAAAGTCCAGTATATCCTGGTGTAAGCTCTCGCCTTGATCCTCCAAGTACGCTCCCATGTTCTCCTTGAATTTATCAAGATGAGCATCAAGGATATGGACTTTGAAGGACATCCTACAGCCTATTGTGCCATAGTTATTCACCAGAGTCTCAACCAGCTCCACATAGTTTTCGACCTTGTGATTGCCCAGGAAGCCACGAACCACTGCGACAAAGCTGTTCCAAGCCGCTTTCTCTTTACCAGTGAGTTTATTGGGAAATTCATTGCACTCCAGGATCTTCTTTATCTGTGGTCCAATGAAGACACCGGCTTTGACCTTTGCCTCAGACAGCTTAGGGAAGAAGTCTTGAAGGTATTTGAAGGCTGACAATTCCTTATCTACAGCTCTGACAAATTGTTTCATAAGGCCCAATTTGATGTGCAGTGGTGGCATCAGCACCTTCCAGGGGTCTACCAGTGGCTCCCACTTGATATTGTTCCTCCCCACAGAGAACTCGGTCCGCTGTGGCCAGTCCCGCCTGTGGTAGTGTGCCTTGGTGTCCCTGCTGCCCCTAAAGGCAAAGATAGCAGGGAAACTTGATGAAACCGCTTTGGAGACCCATCAGGAATGCCACCATTTTGAAGTCTCCGATGACCTCTCAGCCATACTTATCATACTTCAAGGCGTCCAACAAGGTCTTGATGCTGTTTAATCCTCTTTGAGGTGCACCAAGTGAGCCAGGGGAAGAGACGGGTACTTGTTACCATTATGGAGCAGCACGGCTTTGAGGCTCCTGGATGAGCTGTCAATGAAGAGGCACCACTCATTCTTGTTACAGACGATTCCGATTGCCTCGAACAGACTGGTCAGATTGTGGCAGAAGTAGATCCCATCTTGATGGGTGAAGAACCTGCAAAAAGGTTGGTGACGCTTCCTCTGATCTGCGACTTGCACACTTTCATTCAACAAGTTCCACTGCTTGAACCTAGACGTCAAAAGCTCGGCATTGGACTTGGTGAGACCAAGATCTCTGATCAAGTCATTGAGGTCTTTTTGGTTGGGGTAGTATGGGTTTCTCTCCTCAGCTCCACCTCTAAAATTGTCATCTGGATCTACAACGTCTTCCTCGCTCTCTGATTTTCTGTTCTCTTCTAAACGATATTCATAACAGGCTAGTAGGAGTGGGTACGGGGAACTCATGGCAGTGTGGCACCAGGGAAATGGATGAAGGAAGGTCCGGATACGTGATAGCAGTTGTATTCTTGCCAGTCCGACGTTTGGAAGGGTCCACCATGCAGAAGTAACAGTTGTTTGAGTGGTCAGTGGGTTCCCGCCAAATTCTTGGGATAGCGAACTTCATGGCTCTCTTTTCCCTTCTGTACCATCCTACAAAACCACATTTATTTCACCCATGACTCATGTGTAAGAGATTCTCGCAACATTTTTCATGTATGTAGGTGAAAAGGATTGCAGAATCTTAAGCTTGGTACATCTGACAATGTTCTAGTTAAACATCAGTAGAGGTGATTTGTTATCCATCACAATTAAATGAATATGACTGCTTTGCTGGCATTTGCAGATTTATTTTCAAAAGCCACAATTTTCCTAAATTCTAACATATATTCGCAACATTTACACGGACTATAAGACGGAATGTATTCAATAGTTGCATTTTACAATCGTAAATTCTACCAACCATTGAAACTAAAAGCATCAACTAGTTTTGCAGCTTAATGGATTACAACGCAAAATAATCCCACAGCCCTAAAGAGTTATATTTAAGCTTCAGTGACCAATTGGCTTCACACTGCAACACCCATTTAGTTGTAAAACATGCCATGACCACAAAATGTAAATACAAATGTATTTGGGGTCAATGAAATTAAATAGCATTCACAGATTATGCTTGTGCATAAAACGTTTAAGCCCGAGTGTATCACATTTATGCAGATAAACTAAAAGTGTCTCGTTTACAAAAAAAAAATCTCTGTATCCCTTCAAAACGCACTCGGGAGCATGCCCAGTCACCAGCCAACTAAAGGATTGCGATGCTTGTCTGCGATCTAAATAATTTTGCATACGTATTAGTGTATTTTTGTATTGCTTATTAAAATAAATCAGTCTCATTTGTACAATTTTTTTGGTGAAAGATGTATTAGCCTCGATGTAACTCGAGCACATCATGTGTGGTGCCTGCTTGCTCTCCCAGGCCCTGCTGTGGCTCTGTCAGCGTCCACGAGGACGCGTTTGTCTCTCTTGACAATGGAGTGTGCTTTTAACCGTCTCTATTTCAGCGTTTCGAGAGATGTGGTTCCATTTAGGCGCTGCGCAAATCCAGTGGCGAGATGTTAACTACTTCGCCTGGTGTACAGGCCATGGGTTCGATCCCGACTTTGACCCATGTATGTTTGGAGTTTGCGTGTCTCTATCCGTGGTCACGTGGATTTTTTCTCCGGGTCCTCCGGTTTTTCCCTCCACATTGAGAAACATGCGTTTAGAGTATTTGGCTGTTAAACATTTTCACATAAGCCACTTCGTTGAGCTATTATTTGTGGCCAGGTCACTTGTGAAGAAGATATATAGCTCAGCGGGCCTTACCTCGTAAAATATAAAGATTGATGGTAGTTTTAGTTTACAATGTTATTAATCTACCCCTTTTCTCACCACAGTCCCTGTGTATTTTGTAAAGCGCTTTGATATTAAGTTTCATGCAAACACTAAATAACTGAAAATTCGCGATTCTTCTTCGTTACAATATGCACATCGGGGAAAAAATATTTGTACATGTGCGTTTCGATGCACATACCGTATGAGCCTTGAGAATCGATATCGATGGATCATTATATATCCATGCAATAGTATAACAAGGTAACCAACAATTAAAAGGTATATGCAGTGTTTTTTTTATTGAGTGGAGCATTAATTTGCATTGTTACAAGCATACAGCGGTTGCTAAAGCTTTTCATTCAAATGCTCAAAGGTGCTGTGTGCGGTCTTTTGAAAGCATTAATGAAAAAAAGTACCCCCACCATGTATTATAAATACAGTACAGTACACGTGTGCAAACATATTACCAAGGGTCTTGCGTAAAGTTCAAATGTATTAATTTATTGAAATTACCCGTTTTAATCATGGATGTTTTATGTCACCACGGCCGAGGTGAGGGCTGCTTCCCCCAATTCCCCAGGTAATGCATCAATCATACATGGGATGCAACCATCTACACTTCCAAGGAATTCTCCAGCTCATCACTTTTGCATTTCCTTTCCTTGATTGGTGCTTTGCACATTTTTTTTACCCGACTTTGTTTATTAACCCCGAGGCAACAATTTCCAACGAGCAACCTTTTTTTTCTTTCAACAATAATTGACCCGCTTCATGAAAGTTTTATACCGAAGTGTTATTAATAATGATGTTAAAATTTTGTAACCTGTATGGAAATGACATTTGGCAGGAAATTAGAAACAGGGGGCGGAGCTGTGGCGTAGTGATTAGTGTGCAGTACTGTGTTACGAGCCTGGCGATCGATGTTTGATTCCAGGGCACGGCTAAAATCAGTGGAGTGATATTGGAATTGGTCTTAGCCCTCTCCTTCACAAACCTGCACTGCCCAGCATGGTGAGGTGTGGTAAACCACCATTGCCAAAACGTTGCTGGGAGGCGTTCATCCAGTAGTGGGTTGATAAAAGGGCTGTACATTATTATGGAATGTTACATATTTCACTAATTATTACACATACCTTCCGTTTAAACCATGGCAAGTCATCACAATGCATGGCAAGTCAACATTATGCATTACAAAATTTACATCCTTGGCAATTCAATGATTATGATCATAGATCGTAATTCGTTTCCTAAATAGTATCTATCATTTTAACCTTTTCGTTTTAATCATCAATAAATGCCCAAATGAAAATGATTCATGTAGAAAAGCCTCACTGGGTCTTAAGACCATTTCACGAGGGTCCTCATGACGTTTGAAAAATGTTAGTGGTGGAAAGTTTTGCACATGGAAGGAAACCAGGGCATGTGTAGAAAACCTAAACGTACGAGGGGATAATGATGTTCTTTTGACATCGCGCCCTTCATGGCGGGGCGTTAGAGCGCTTAACATCATTTCGCACACGTTTGAAAGGGCACCACCATGTGGCAGCTGCTCCCTCTGGGCACAAGGAGACTCAACACCTGGCCTATAAATGGACATTCATCTTCCAATAGAGGGCGATGATTGCTATGTGTAAGTCCAATTGAGTAATTTTGAGGGTAGTTTTCTAATTAGCCAATTTGGATAACGCTAAAAGACAGAGACAAAATCACAAATCGATGTACTGGAGTGTCATCTTTTAGCCAATTCAGCCCATTGGGTTTGGGACATCAGTGATCTATCAACCGTCGTCTCCAAAGCATTGGATTCACCGGTGTATACAATGATGCCTGCTTAAAAAAAATACATTAAGAAAGCCTGATTGTTTCACTATACACGTGCATTAATTAGGCAACGACTTTCATGAGCTGGTCATGAAGCATTTTTGTAGGCTTCTTTTATTTAAGTAGCGAATGTCCAATATGGCCGACAGAGCTGAATCACTTCCATTTGGCTCCTCCAAAGAAGTCTTGAACCCGGCACCTCAGAAGTAAACATTAGAATATCCTGAGCCTCTTCTACATTCAATGTTAATACGAGGGTTGGGAAAGTCTATACCAGAAATGTGTATTCCCCTCACATATACCATAATCCATCCATACTTCCACGATCAATATTCCCCATTCAAATGTAAAAATGTCAAGGGTACACTTTTCACATTGGTTGCATAGTAAATATGAACATTTGAACTCTGGGGAAGCATGGCCTCAAACACAGAGCCACGTGGTCATTAGAAGCACACACTCGTAAACATTAGAAATCTATTACATAACATTATGTGCCAAGTAGAAGTGCCAATCTGCCTTCTTTAAAGGTAATGGCAGGACACATCTGGCTAGTTAAATTACAATGTTACATATTGAAAATGTAAACAATGTTTAATGTTGGCTTCTTCCAAATGATTTGAAAGGTGAATTTGAAGAAAACATTTATTTTGATCGTAGATAATATGTTCCAGGTTTTATATTTTTGAGATGTGGTCAATTATCAAAACAAATTTGTTACAATTACATTTCTATAAACATTTCCAATGTTTGCTTCATCAGTAATTTAAGATGAAAATAGTCTGCATCATAAAAATGTTGCCATCTCTCAGACGGCTAATTTGAATGATGCCATCACAAAAATCAGCACTGGCTCAGAAATAAAGCAGCAAAAATATAGTAACAGCAGCAGCACGGAGCACAGTGGTTCATTCCTATTCTTAGGTTTTTTTCGGTAAACTCACGTAGGTAAAAAATAAAAATTAATAAAAGTAAAATAAAATTAAAATTAAAATAAAAATCACGACGTTTCGGAAGCAACACAAGCTTCCGTCTTCAGGTGGAACAGTCACAGCACGATAGCTGTATCACTTGATACATCGTGATTTTTATTTTATTTTACTTTTATGAATTTCAATTTTTTACCTACGTGACTTTACCGAAAAAAACCTAAGAATATGAATCATTGCAGTCACGAAAGCTTCAAATCTAGAATTGGTTCATTCCTGTAATGGGGAAGAATTGTTCGTCTGACATTGTAACCATTAAACTGGCAAAACCATTATCAATCCAGGCTGTGCTACTGAATAACAAAATACCTAGATCACAACCTACAAAGTATATCCAGTGTCTTTCTTATTTGCATAACCCTTGTTCTTTTGATGCATGCACAACATCAGCAACAGTCAGAAATGCAGGCATTGCAATTTCAACAGGACACAGCTGTACAGCATAGCATCATGATTCCACATCATTCCCTATGCATCACAGGGAATTTTTAGCAAAGGAGCGCAAGACAATCGTGAGAAGCTGGCATCAGGAAAACAAAGTCTGCAATTGGTTGGAAGCTTCATTTTCTTCCAGATCCCAGACTCTTAAGAAGTGGCTGATGTTCTTTCTGCAAAGACATATTACATTTTAGATCATCAATAAAATCCATTCATATGCACACAAAGGCTGACTTGCATTTTCTAACGTTATGATCAAATGCACTGTATATACATTCTCAAAATTATAATTAATGACCCCGACTCCAGATTTTGGGACAGTGTGTATTCGATATTCACTTATAATGAACTTATATGCACTCTTAAATTGTGATATGCTAAAAAAAAGCATCGCTTTCGTTTCCCCTAATAGTCATTATATTCATATTTCTGAATGACGAGATGACCACGGCAACAAGCCCACAACATCAAAGATGTGCTCTCTGTTCAGCCTGCTTTTCATCTATAAAATTCAATCAACAGCATTATTCCAACGTGTCGATTTAAATATGTGTGCCCCTCTGCAGGTTTCCATCTCAGCTGCACGCAGCTGACAACCTGATTTTAACAGCAGAGAACAAAGTCAGTGATATGGAATTTAAGAAAGTATTTTTTTCGCCAAAATCAATGTCACGTTACAGAAGTAGATGTATAACGATGCGAAGAGCATATTGAACAATTTGCACACCTTTAACGGACACTGGACCAGAAACTTATTTAATTTAAAGTAGTTTGTATACACTCTAATGAAGCTGCACGTGGTAGAAGACGGTGTGCATATGTGCACTATCAATTTTACTACACATGCATACTGTTCTTACCTGTTGTGTGGAATTTAGGAATCCATTCCCTTGGTTGCCACACACTATATTTTCACATTTATTTTAAAATAAATTATTTGGTAGCAAAATGCAAAAAGGAATTACAAAAGCGTAATAATTCATTATCTTCATTAGTAACATTCACTTTTTATTCATGTTAGGTCATGCCAAATGGCTATTTTAACATATTTTCACTGCTGGATGAGAACCTCTCGATGCCGTGTTGTTTGCCCATACTTCGCCAAACTGGTCGATGAAGGTTCGTGAAGAGTAGACCTAGGACCCGGTTTGAATATCAATAGGCAATAACGTTAGCCTAGGCCGCAAATCAAACTCAGGTCACTAAGTTCATAGCGCAGTGCTGAAACACTGTTCCACAATTTTCCCGAGTTACTGGGCGATGCGTTTGAAAATCCCACCGTTTCATGTTGATGTGAGCCTCCAGCTCCCTGGATTTCTGAGCGGCAGTGTGCAACACCTGCTCAGGGATGGCAGCCAACCGCGCGACGTTGAGGCCGTAACTCCGAGCGGCTGGCCCTGCTGTAAGCTGATACAAGAAGGTCACCGACTCCAGCCTCTCTCCGTCTTCCCCTTGCACTAGCACATCACACAATGCACAATTTGCCTCGAGCAGAAATGGAAGGTCGAGTTTAAAAATAAATAAATACATTCATGCAACGCACTAGTCAACACCCTCTGGTCTCTAAAATGCCAGCGCTCGGTTTCCAGCGAGATGAATCTGTAATTTACCCAATTAGCGGCAATGAGGTGCCTGGCTGACCGCCGTTTCACTTTGACCAATATGTCACGACGCTTGAGGCAACCGTCAAGCAGGTGCGCGGGCATGATGTCAAGAATGCACAATGCATCAGCGATGTTTGCACAATACGCTTTTTCAACTGTGCCAGCTTTATAATCCGGCTCCTGCCGCCTCAGGTCCATCTGATAAATCGCAAGCTGTTATGACACTGTCACTGATTAGCAACATAGTTACTTTGTGGTAACACCACGTGTTTTTTCTATTTGTTTACACCTAGCCCATTATAAGTGCACAGCAACCTTTTCAGAGGAATAGTTTAGAGAGTATTCACGCCAGCGCCAAATCTGTCGGATCATGACGAACAGTGCACTGGACACACAGGTAATTTCTCTGCTTCGTGATTTAATTACCGAATGTGAGATGTAATTGTATAATTACCTAAAACAGGGTTTCAATCTATTAAAATTAGGCTCTTAATTGTATCCATACATAAGCTCAAGTTATCTATTTTAAAACCAGGTGATAAGTCAAGAGACCAGGACAGAGTCTCATTTGCAAGAGTGACCTGGGGCATGAGTCAGCTAGTAGGAAGCACTGATTGCTGTGTAATTTGCCAATTGAGTAATTTACAGGTAATGCTGGCACAAATTATTTTGAATGACTACAGGGCATCGATGGCGTGCGCTGTGAAGCAGACTGTGCGTATTGTGGTTATTACACCCACAGTAATAACCAGGGCGGCCGCTGGATTAGAACCGTGAACCTCTGCAACAAGCGACAAACACGCTTCTGCTAGGCGATATCACCGCCAAATAAAATACATACGAGATTGTGTACTCACGGACATTCATGCACTACACAATCCTGTGCACATATTGCAATGTCAACCAAGAAGATAATGGTAGTGCTTTCTCGAAGAAGGATAATTAATACTCTTTGGTTCTTTATGTATAGTCACGAAGGTATAAAATAAAAGAAATCACATTTCGGGCGCAACACAAGCGTCCGTCATCAGTTGGGACAACCACAGCAAGAAACAATTGCTGAAGTGGATAATTAATTAATTCATCAGCCAAATTCAACAATGAATGAAAACACATGTTTTGGTGCAACCATTATGCCAAAACTTCCTTTCTAAAAGACTTGGCCAACGATCACAAGGAGTAGCACACGAGAGCTCAGTGGATGCATTGCTCGATTTTCTTACCCGTCTCCTCGGGCTCACTGAGAAGAAAAGACATGTGGTAAGTTGCTGACAACGTCCGGGTTTAGCCTCTCCATTTCACACACAGGTGGGTAGTGTGTAACAAAGAGGGTCAAGCATTGCACCTGCCGGATGGAAGACAACAAAACAGACATGCCACAAAGCAGGTTTTTTAAAGATGCGTCAATTAATCAATGAAAATTAACTCTGATGCTCACTATACTTGGATTGTGCATGTCAGTATTGATTTGAGTAAAGTATACAGAAATGATATGCTCATGTTGTTGCATATAGCACAACATATAAATAACATACCATTTTAAACAGACAATAGAAATGAGACGGAACAATGTGGAACATGAGCCAAACATTACACGACAGGGCAAAAACGAGACAGAGAATTAATCCAAAGGGACAAAGCACATTTAGACACAACGCATACATGTAAACAGACAAAACACATTTGATACTTAGGTTGAATCGGGACCCAGAATTGTGGCAAGGCAAATGGGGTGTATCGATGAATGCTTACCGTTACCGTTTAGTCGACACTTAAATAACATTTTGAGCAGTGACACCTTTATCAGGCTGTGCTCCCTGATGAAAATTAGCTGATGATGTGTCAACTGTAAACTTAGCATTGGGGATAAAATTAAGTTCTTACTCATGATTGATTATACTGTGTAGCAAAAAAAAATTGTTCCTGGGTAGTAAGTGTTATTTCTAAATTGATTATGCCTCAAAAGTACAACACATGGCTATTATTCCCCACAAACTTTGCTTTTGTGACCAGGATACAAAAGCAAAGTTAATAATTCACTCCATTAATAATTAATGAATACCTGTGTTCCTCTATTTCCATAGCTCTTGACATTAACTCATTAAATTATGACAAAACATATTTATAAAATAACAATATAAGAGGGCAATCAAGATATCATTTTAAATGTTACCAATTTATCATACAGTTTAATCCAATATGCATTTAGGTATGTGTATAAACATGGTCATGGATTACTATTGAACACCAACTTAGGCTGTATATTCATAACTCTAGGCAATGCAAATGCTGACGTTATCATAATTGATAAGCACAAGGACTGTCACTTGCAGTGTTTAGTTATTGCAATTAAACGCAACTGCATGGAGTTAATTATTTACAATAAATATTATTTTAGCATAACTTTCATCCTTTCACTTAAAATTCACAACTGAGATGCACCCTACATGAAGAGCAACTATACAGTTGGCACTGTAATCATTACGGAGGTAAAACAACTCTTCTTAACGCTAGCCTACGCCAGTAACAATCTACACACATTACTCTAGATACTACTTTACATGAAAATAAATGATAATTGGTTTTTTACCCTTCTATCTGGCAACAAAACTGACACCTTTTTACAAGGAGTCATGTTTGAATAGACCGCAATACCTGCAGTCATAATACAAACAAAAGAACATAACTCTGATAATGTGCACTGATAATGTGCACTGTCCTTATCAGAGTTATGTTCTTTTGTTTGTATTATGACTGCAGGTATTGCGGTCTATGCAAACATGACTCCTTGTAAAAAGGTGTCAGTTTTGTTGCCAGATAGAAGGGTAAAAAACCAATTATCATATTTTTACTGGCAAATGAGGTTCCCATAGTGTAGATGAAAATAAATGTTTAATCCAATGAACGGCACAAGACGTTTTTTTTTTGTTACAGTGAACCGTCCAGATGGTACGACAGGGATGTAAACATAAAAAATGCAATTCACCAATAAAGCCACAATGGGCTACACTTGTAACCAGAGGGCATTAACTTCATTGCTCGTCAATTTATGGGGGGGGGGGGGGGGGGGGGGAGCTCGGGAGGTGTGCAGGAAATGCCGACCTCCTTGACGAAGTACTCCAGAGTGGCGTAAGCGATGGCAATCCCGTCGTGAGTGCTCGTGCCGCGGCCCAGCTCATCCAGGATCACGAGCGAGTGGCGCGTCGCTTTGCGGATAATCTCCGAAGCTTCGCTCAGCTCCTCCATGAAGGTGCTGCGGCCCTTGTAGATGTTGTCTGATGCGCCCATCCTGAACGCAGCGGGTTAGTGGCGGGGCACAGTGCAAGCCAATTAGAATCCACTGGCTGCACCAGTGAGATGTCCTGAAAAAGTGTTAATTGCATTCATCAACACACACTTTTTACGGCAATCACATTAAAAACAAAAACTGTCCTTGCTCCTTCAACACTGCTAGCTCCCCCAAATGATTACAATCCTTTTTATAAATGCAGGTGATTCCATAAGCACTTAATTGAATGCCCATATGCAATTTTCACTCTAAAATTGAGCTGTCTTTGATGTTTACAGCAGCTTAATAAAATGCTCATAAAATAATTGTAACTATACATCATACAATCCATTCATGTTTCCCGAATACAAATGAATGCAAAAATTTATTAAAATAGCTGCCTCTAGACAGCATATATGTATATTTCTCTTTGGAAATATATTTGATGTAAGAAAATCCAATATAGCCAAATACAAAACCTGACCACAACTTGCATGAAGAGTCATTTGAATGAATGTCTGATATATGGAATGCACGATACTGTTTGTCTTAAATGCAGTAGTTGAAAACATATCCACAGACGTCGCCCCAGAAAGCTAAAGAGGCATCACGAGGACACGATTCTTGCTATGATGGGAGGAGGAGGGGGTCCCTCTTTCCTGAGGATACAATTCTGTCAAGTGAAACCCAAGCTCTGTTTTGATAGCTGCGCGGCCTCCTGTGAATATTTCGATTCCGTCAATGTACCGGGCACAATCCTGTTGCAGCAATACAGATAACATGTCCTTCATACTCATAGATCAGTGGGAATGGGTGAATGGAAACTTTTAAGAGACAATCCCACTCAACAGTCTTAGGGGTTAATTACGAATGTAATGGATTCTAAGATTTCCGTATATTTATTCATAAAAGAAAGTGAATGTGATTTTTTTTTTACATCATCAAATGCTATTTTACATAAGTATCTTGAAATTGTCTTTCTTCACTGGTAGGGCATATATCCAGAAATGCTCAATTGACTAAAGAGTGTAATCAGCCAAGCATTTAATTTTCCTTGTTAATCAAATTAAATACAAAAGTTGCTAGTTTTTTTGTTGAATTCGTATGTGAAACAAGTTTTTTTTTCTGGTATTACAGCCATTATTTTGTTTCAAGTTCATAATGAAATTGAATAACTTATAACTCAAAATGCAGCCAGAGACAAAGGCAGATCTGTGAGAAAGTCAAACAAAAACACCCCAATATACCAGAGTCCAGTAGGTCATGGGAACTGCAAGACGTTGTGCCCAGAACAAATAAACATTATTGACAAAGTTAAAAATACATCTGTGCAAGGACTGCATCTGCCAGGCTGGAATCTCTCCATGGGTGCCCTGTCAGTCTAAAGAGGCATTTAATAACTGCCAAATTGTCATGTGTACAAAGCAAGTCAAGATGCAGTCTTCATTCCAGTATTATACTGCATTGATAAGGGCGCCATGGTGTCGAGATGTTAACTACCTCGCCTGGTATGGAGGTCGGGTGCTCAATTCTGCTCCGAATGCCTGTATAATTGGAGTTCGCATATTCTCCATGTGGTCGTGTTTTTTTTTCTCCTGTCCTCCAGTTTTTACTTCCACATATTTAGAAACATGCAATTAGAGTATTTGGCTGCTATATATTTCGACATAAGCCACTTCGTTGAGATATCATTTGTGGCCAGGTCACTTATGAAAAAAAGCTAATAACAAATTTGGCCTAACCTGGTAAAAAAAATTCTAGTTTTTCTATGTATGACAGGTTCATACTGAAATTTCCCAGTGTTCGCATTGTCAAGGAAGGTAAAGTATATACATGTAATTATAATGTCATTTCCAACAAATGGTAGAGAGAATGTCGGGTGTTTCATATTATTATCCATTTTTTCCCCCTTAAATCAACGTGTCGATTCGTGTCAAAGTAAAATATTTGTATCAACAGTTGGAAATAGAGTTAGCGTATATCTACCATGTAAATAACCATGGTATGTATATAGTAAATTCAAAAGTTATTGTGCAGTGGGTTTTATGGCGAAAAAATGATAAAAGTGGTCTGTTATCCCAGTTTGCTGTAAGGGCAAGTATTTCTGCTGTCGAAGACATTAATTACGGAACAAATGAGATCGTTAAAAGTCTGTGTGATTAGGCTTCCAAAATGGGTAGACATTAGTGTGTATCGCTAAATGTGGCTGGAATAATTGACGACTGCACGATTGTGCAAAACAACTACTAAGATCTTCTGTATGTAGCAATATGAAAAAAAGCATACCTTACTTAAAAAAAATAGAACGGATGAAGCATCATCACTTGATGAACATAGTGTAACATGTACAATGCTTTTAACAACTCTTGATGTCACGAAAAATTCAAGACAAATATTTACAAGGGACCTTGTCAGGTTTGGACAATAGGTTTCATTTAATTAATGTTTTCCAGAGAAGGTCAGCTGGCTCAGCAACCAGAGCACTTAGTTGCCACTGTTGGAATCCTGGGCCTGAGTCCAGGATTCGGCTGCTAATGATGAACAAGCATCTCTCGAAGCTAGCATGTTGAGATGGTAGTGTCTGGCAAATGTGTGTGGTGAAGATCAGCTTGCTGTCCTGCAAAGTGATACCCACCTCACTAACCCAGAAGATCACCATGGACCTCACAGAGTTCAGAGGCTTCTTCCCTGCCTTTTACTAAGATAGCCCAATACAAGCATGCATCTATGCACCAGTCACATGCTGGGATGCAGCCTCCCCCCTTCATATGGGCTCCAGGCAGAACACATAACTATCAGAAGAAAAATGATGAAGCTTTCACCACATCCAAGACATGCAGCCTTCTCGATTTGATAGAAAGGGCTTTGGACAGAAAGAGGGGAGAGCAATCTCCCAATTTACATGAATAGAGGCCACCTTTGACAGAAACCCAGGGAAGGTCCACAATACCATTTAATCCTTTCCTAAACACACGGGGCACCGAAGCTTGAAATCCCCCCACACATCAGGCAGATGTTACAGTGACCAGGAAAACCGTTTTGAGCTATGGATGTCACCGAATAATGGCTAAAAAGGCAGTGGCTAAAATGGTGCAGCCATGCCAAAACTAAAATCCCAGAGCCACACAAACAGAGAAGAGCTGGGCCTAGAAATCTATTGTACTGATATCAGCTGGTGCAGGGACCACATGTGCAGATATGCCCCTAGGGCCCTAATATTGTACGAATGTGAAAGAACATCGCAAACGTTTAATTTATAGATTTTTGATTGTGTGCTGGCCACTGAATTGTGTACAAGATGGTAAGGAATGTGCCTATGGCTGCATATAACAAAATTTAATGAAGACTACTAAACAGAGCATATATTTCCAATTACACTCTTGTATACAAACTCCTGTGGTTCCAATTAAACTCAGTCCCAAATGTTTAGCAAAAATAATGGAAGAAAAATATATGAAGACAACAGATTGGGCCAAACATTTTTTAAGCCATCTGCAATAACAAACCCAGGGCTGGATTTGAGAGCCAGATTTCATAAATCTTCAAGCAGCTTCAAGTGTTACATATCCCTTCAGGGAACTCCCAGACAATTATCAAATCAGACCATTTACATTGATAGTCCACTGCAAGGGAAGAAACATAAGCCTCATGACAGTTGCAATGATTTCAATACATTACATGCACTTCACGATGAGAGATTAACCCCAAAAGCTACCTCTTATAAGCCTGATAATTGATATCCCTGATTTAGTGGGGCATGAATGTAGTGTGAATGTAAGGATAACAAAAATGTCAATCATTGCACTGGATGTGGTGGCCATTCTCTGCATGCATGCCGTTAAATGTAAGTTCGTTATTTTGGTAATCATGTGGAGATATTATTCATCTCCGAGGTGTCGCGTATAATAGAAAAACATGTCTTTTTCACATTCAAATTTCTATGAGATACTTTAATACACAATTTGCAGTGATGCCCCCTGCATTATAACAATAATGCCATCCTCCATATCAAACGGCAAAATTAGATGCATTATAAAATTACAGCGAACTATTAAATATGTGGATTATAACATTACTGCAGCATCATTGCAGTCTTCCCCTAATAATGTAACAATAATAATACAAATAAAATTATGCACACTATATTAAGCGTGACTTAGGCATCTTCATTGGAAAAAATATTGGACAATGCATGACCCACCTTTGAGTCGAGTACTTCTATTTGCAGTATCTAAGTCTCACAAGCAAACACTGCTTAAAAGCAGCATGCTTGTACGCTGCGTATGTATGAATTAGCCAATACAACGTACATGTGGCTCACAGTGATCACAGTGTTTCTTATGAAATGCAAGTGTTAAAATAACACCACCCTTGAATTCCCATGTAAAAAAATCAGGAAGGCTCGCTTTCAAACCGCATGCAAGCTGTGCACACATTTTTTCTTTTCTCCTTTTTCTGGCAGGGCTCAGGGTTCTCAAAGCCAGGGGATGCAGCGTTTGATAAATTATTCTGAAAATATTTCTTGCGCGTGGCACTTACCATACTAAACAGGCGTAATAAAACGGAAGACGTTGATTGTGAGCAACCAATTTGGCCATGCTTAACTACTTCATTTGAATGTCTGTATTAATGTACTATTGCTAAACGAATGGTTAGGCTTTTTGTACTTATTTACGTAACAATTACGACGGCACTGCAAAATCCCTAGAGAAGCATGTTGCATGTACTACGATCCTGCAAGGCAAATTTATATGCTGCACAGCAAATTTGTATCCTGTGTTGACAACTTGTGGACACTTTTCTGGCTTCTAAAATGCAAAATAATCTCAATCATTATAAGTCCCAAATGCATCTGAATGAAAATTACTTTGTGACAATACATTTCTCAAACAAATTAATCTACGCAAATTAAATATCTTAACAACCCAAAGCATGAATAAAAATTAACAGGTAAGAATACATGGCTTGTGGATGCTCATGAAAAATAGTTTTAATCTACACTGGCTTTATTTTCCAGACTTAATAAAATAAACACTTATTTTGCTAACAGTACATTTTATTGATGAATGTGTTTTTTTTTATGTTGTTGCATCATTTTAACAGCCCACATGATTAAGGTTTTAACATTAACTACACATTTCATTGGTGTGTATTATTTTCACTGAACGTGGAAAGATGAGAACAGGCTTTATTTTCAATCTCACCACGTGGGACATTGCTGCCCACAGGGCCTTGCACACATACAGCATTGATGATCTGCAAAAGTGGCAGTTTTCAAACTTTGATTAACACAGACATGACAACCAAAACTGTGTTATTTTTATACACTGCAGACAGCTATTACTTCCTCAACAATTACATAGCGGTGGTATTGAACTCAATCTGATCTCAAATATATGCTGTTCTTGCATCCCATTAAGCCACATTACACGCAAGTGGATTTTCCACAAGTCTACCGCACGTCTAAGCTTTGCATGAATGTACCTGTAATGTGTGCATACGTGCTATACATTTATATATAAAAGGGAAATTTGTGAATATGTGCGTCTGTTCAAAATGTTTAGTGTACTTCCCAACATGCAACAAACTTGAAATTTGCCATGTGGGTACTTTCCAGACTGTACACCATGCAATAATTATACAAATAGACTTTTGTATTTGTTTTTTGGGGGGGGGGGTGCAATAATGCATATATTTTTCACGCAAGTGAGCGGTGACGTCACATCTGTCATGCCACCCGCATGCGGCAGCGCTACACAGTGTGCCTGCTGACGTCACGCATCCCCCCCCCCCCCGAACCCTCCGCGTCGGCCATGTATCCCGCACAAATGCGCGGGGGGGGGGGGGAAATAGGTAACAAATTTTAATTTGCCATGTGGCTAGCTCCCATACTGTACACAATGTAAAACGTATAAAAATAGACTTTTACATTTTGGGGGGGGGGATGACCATGAAGTGTGTGGCGAGAATCGATATCTGGTGATCATTTGTGGTATCGATTACACGGGAATAGGCCGATTCTAAAGAATTTACAACCTTCGATTCCTTTGCGCGATCTAAAGAATTGAATCTTGGCGCGTGAGCGTAATGATCAAAGTTTTTTTTTCATTTGTATATGTTATGTTTTTAAGTTTTGAGAAGTTTTTAAATAAATTTTTCCCCCGGGCAATGCCGGGTGCTTCCCGCTAGTTAGGTATATAATATATTGATTCGTTGATATAAAAATAGATTCTTATGTTCATGATTATACTGCTACAGGTGCTGCATCCACCACGTTTAAAAATATTAGATTCTTGAATTTAATTGTAACCCCAAATCGTGACAATTCATGAAATCGCGAGGGGGTGGGATCATTATAGTCATCCCTTGTTACTCAAATAAATATACGGAATGTCGCTATAAATAACCTAATTAATTAGGGAACGAATTTGATATACGTTACGTTAAATTCGCATTTTAAGAATTCTGATTGTCTAAAAATGTACCGTTTTGGGGGGAAACATTCAAACAATGCACGGTCTGTCATTTGTTCTCGCATGAGGGTTTGCGTCGCGCACTTTTAACACTTTACTGATTTCCCGTGCTCTTTGTGGTGCCCAAGCTTGGGTCGTTTTGGTTCAGTTCTTTGTGTTGATAACGCCTGGTACTGCACTGTGCAGGATTTTTCACTTTTTTTAATGTTGTAATTTCACTAAAAGTAAGTCAAGATGCCTGGAAAGAGGCCACTTAGTCCATGTGAAATCAGAAGTGCAAAACGAGACCGTAAGTACTGAACAGTATTTTTTTTACTTGATTTATGTTTTCCTATAAAAGGCATCTCCAATTATATGATGTAAGTCAAAGGGAAAATCGGGCACGATAAACGGAATTTCGTTTTACGAACTTCCGTACATCGAGGGATGCCTGTATTCCTTTTATGTATGCCCGCTTATATGCGAATGCACATGTTAAGGAATACATGCAGAGTAAAATGTGCATACGATGGTCATCATAAACAACCGTGTACAGTATGCAGGGTTCTAAATTAACAACAAGTCACATGGCACATGAGACTTTAAATTCGTTTCAAATTCCAAGATATCTAAAATTAGTAATGCGAATCCCCGGGAATTTTTAGGATACTGACACGTGTGCACACCATTTTCATCACACGCTCAAGAGGTATTCATTCGAAATATCGGCACAGCTCCAGGCTGAATGATGTCATGACCTAAATGTGGTAAGACTCGCTTTGTACATTATTAATAAGGCTGGCCGTAAATTATGAATGAGTTTAATCGGTGAGGAATTTAAATAGGAATATAAGGTGATTAATGAAATGCACAGACATAGAGATTTGTGGTTGAACCCTTAGGTCAAAACAGATGGGGTTCACTTAAAACCCACACGGCCCTTACTCTGAACTTAAGTAAGAATGCAAAGAGGCAATCTATTTTAGTAGGCAGGTGCCATTGTTAAAAACAAGTTTTCACTTTATAAAAACAGTAAAATAAAAAAATTGGACAAATGTATAAAACACCTAGTAATACCACAATCACAACTCTACCAAGGCATTAAAAGCAGCTTAAAAGAAGACTTAGTACAAGAGTAGACTGCACAAATGTTTGTGTAGGCCAAGAATGAAAACTGAAAAAATATAACAAAGTTTTAAAGCATGTTCTTTATACGAACATATTTTGCATTTTTTGGTAATCCTTTCTTATAAACTTGCAGAACAGAATATACTAATAAGGGAAATAAGCTGCTATTTTCCTATGGGCTATATAATTTCACCATCAAAGCTTTTCATGTGAAAAAGAGCATGCATTATCAGGGTTCCGATCCTTGATGGTAAACTTTCTTGGCGAACTTATAACCTTGGAAATGTTTGTGTTCTATGTATTTTATACGTTAGCCACACGAGTTTAATGGCTTAGTTAATAGTAAAGAGCCAGCACATCAACATTACAAGACGAGCATCTTGAAATATGCTATTAGCAACCTTCACTTGGTACACACCCAAGCAAGCACTCACAGCTACATGAGTGTTCACATTCTAGATTTGAAGCTTTCGTGACTGCAAGGATTCATACTCTTAGGTTTTTCAGTAAAGTCACGTAGGTAAAAAATAATAATAAAATAAAATAATAATAAATCACGACGTTTCGGAGGCAACACAAGTCTCCGTCTTCAGTTGGGACCGTCACATGCACGTATGCACATGAGTATTCTTAGTTCGTGCACACCGCTTATTATTCTGAAAATAAATGTGCAGAGCATTAAATGCTTTTTGTTTTCATGCAGATATACATGGCAGCGCCTCGCTGTCACCACTCTATGCAAGCTTGAGCAGAGATTTAAACATGCAAGCATGCATGTCTGTGTATGCATCATGACAGTTGACCTTAGCCTGTTATAAGAATCCTTTCCCTCTGATAACTCAAGGTTTCACTTCATGTCTGGCATTCATGCCTGTGGTTTCCCCTCTTAATGCTTAAAGGCTTTGGTGCTGCCATTAATTGCAGCGCCATGTACACCTATCTTGAAATTCAGATTATTCTGATGAATTTAAATACAATGGGTCAATTCTTTTTATGACATATATAGGCCGTGAAGCATTCCTTCACTGATTTTTAGGTTGTAAAGTGATGAATCTGAGATAAGCCAGGGACAAACATGACATTAATAATGTCAATGCACGTCACTCAACACCAGCACTGTTCCTTTAAATCAAAATCTGAACTCAAAGGTAGCAAACACACCGTCTCTGAATTTTAACTGTTTTTTTAAATCCAACAGAGAATTTAGTATTATTTGTGTGGGTATACCATGTTTGTGTAGTTGCTGCTTCTGGGCTCACTCACCTGGTGTGAATTGCATGGAGACTGCTCAGCTTGGCATGGCTCGCTGGAACAAAGGAGCCCATCTGGGCCATGACAGCGATGAGGGCGACCTGCCGGATGTACGAGCTTTTGCCACCCATGTTTGGGCCCGTGATTATCATGGCTCGCTCTCCGTCAGCCTGCCAACGGACCAGAGGAAGTGGCACTCAGCAAGCAGGGCACGCAATCGATCGCTGCCACGGGCACTCAATGATATCCTCACAAAATCCACACGCCTTGTAAAAATACACTCCTCCCGCACATGTGGCTGCCGATGACAATCAATCTTTTCCTTCCTCCATGAGCGGTTGCCACATGAAAGTCATGCTGCATTAGCCATTTGGCCAAGGGACAACAACAGACTATATTTCGCAGAAACCGTTTTCGGCATAAGTAGCAACCGCATGAAGCTCACACTTAGTACACTTTTAAGTATTATTTTGCTCAGTTGCACAATTGATATAGATGTGCTCCTAATAACTCACTTTGAATGGACAAAAGCAAAGGCTTATTCTTTTACTCTCCCTTTAAACAACACCGCAATGCTAAAGAGCCATCTGTTCACATACACGGTCACTCACATCGAGGTGTGTGCTGTTGGGCACATATTGATTCTGGTCACCCAAGAGCAGCTCCACTACAGGGTGACGGCCATCTTCGATGACAATCAGACTCTTCTCCACGACAAACTCGGGCCTGATGCCGAGAGAACAAGATTAATAACAACAAAAATGTATGATGCATCACAATCAAGATAGTGAAATTCTAGTATAACTTTCTGACACGGTGATTTTATACATTTCCATTTACAAATCTGTTTATGATAATTTAATGCAGGACAACAAATACAGTTTGAGAATGTAACAGCATGGTAAAATGTACATTCATGAGCCTTTTAACATTTTATAAGATTTTATAAGAGTGTTAATGTATGAGCTCTGTCTGCAACGGGGGGGGGGGGGGGCATGATAACTCTTGTAAAGAAGATCTGTATATTAAATGAATTGCACTTAATATTAAACTTGTGTGTCAATTAGGGACTGACTGTAAAGAAAACTGGGCAAATTGATCAACAGGTTGCCTAAAGCTTGGAGATAATTAGGTTTCCAATTCTGACTTGCATTACACATTTTAAATCATTACTGGAATGCATATTCACGATTTATATTTCTTATTTGTAATATTATCACTCCGAACATCAATGCTCTGTTGCAAGACTATGATTAGTGCAAAGGAAATATATTATATTATCTGATATGATTTTCTATTATCTCAATCTTTGAGCATTTTGGTTGATACTATTATTGGGTTTCAAACTCGGCTATTCTGAATTGATTAAAATTACAACAATATGTTCAAACGAAACACATTGTTGTGACATTTACAGTTTAGGCAAAAACAAACGGCAATAACACCCATCAATTTAAAACAACATCGAAAATCACAAATATATATAAAATTGTGGGCAAAAAATTTGATACCCGCAAAAACACATTCGGTAACCAAATGGTCCAAGGCCACTGTATCATATACAGTGGCAATGTTTAGGCTTCCACATATATTCCATGCAGAAAATACACCATTTGCGTAAAATAATATGTTCACAATTGCAACTACTCATAATCTCCCGAATGACGAGACAATTCTGAACAAACCGAAAACAGCAGTCGATGTAATGGAAAGAGAAAGAATATGAAGGTGTTGGCAATAAAATAATTGCATCATAGCCATAGAAAATGAAACACTTCCAAAATAAATATATTGCAAAGCTGTGCAGCCATTTTACCTTTTGCAACACAACATTTAATTTGTCACATTCCATTTTGTGCTAGAGTGACACAGTGTTTTGTAGCTGTTTTGTAAACGTTCAAGGTAGCATTACATTAGGATTTTTTTTTATCTTCAGCAATTACACGGCTTGCAGCTGTGACAATGCAGGCAGTGCACTATGGAAAGCAAATTAAGATCCTCTGTCAGCAGCCCTAACCAGCACAGAATAGCCAAACGATCACAGGTTGCAAGAGTTAAAATGGGGAGAAAAAAGTTACGTATGGAAATGACAGTGTGCAATGGTGAAGGAATAGACTAAGACCTTTAGCTGACCAGATATCATCCCCAGGGATAACAACTGCCCCTTTGCTGTACAGAAATAGTGCTCAAAAAATCTATTCCAAAACTGATTTGATGATTCACAGGTCTGACAGAAAACTTATATCAGAATAAGCCAACATGTTGAGACAGCAGTAAGCTGTTCCAGCAGATGTAGATAGGTACGATTGGATTATTTCAGATGTTGAGAAACAAATCAATTCAGACATTTAAACTGTTAGATTTTTTAAAATACATTTATAATAGTTAGGTATGCATTAAAACATGTTGGCTATCCCTCCATAAACACTGTTGTGCTGAAAAGGACACAGTAATTGCTAGTTCGTGCTGGTGTGCAACACAGAACAGGCAACACTTTAGAAACAAAGCTACAATTGCTTTTTCAATTCCAAACACAAATAACTGCCAACCCAGAGGAGAGAGGCCAACCCGGGCATGGGGAAACCATCCACGCCACCATTACCAACTGGTGACTGGCAACCACGTAATCATCCCCGTGATCGGAAGCATGAGACCCGCATCCGTAGCTTGTCTTGGGATATCGCCAGTTCAGCGAACCGGTACCTCCTACTCCAGTACTAGTCACCACAAGCACCATTGGCTGGTCCTGTCGAAACTTGCCTAGGACCCAGGGGAGGGATGAAAATGGGATAGAGGACGAAGAACCATGTGCACTCTTGAAAGTATCTTCTTTGATGCTTGGCTCTCACTCTGCTTCAGAAAGAATGCGGTCTCCTTTCCTTAAGCAGCTTTGGTGTACATCACCTGAGCCACAGGCACAGCTTCGACTCTGAACACACCTTCTCTCTTGAAAAGGAAGCCCACCAGAGCACTTTTTTGTGTCGGCAGCTGTGGCGGAATTCCTCCGCCATAGAATTCTGTAGCGGATGACTAACCCAGACATGGAGTTGCTTTTCAGGACACGTGTTCAACACCCAGGTCCACATGGCTTGCTGCTGTCAAAACCAGTTCTAAGAAGTACTGGCGGATAAAAGTTAGTGTGTCCCTGGGCAGCTTAAACCTCTTCAGGGAGGACTTCTTAGAGCTTAACCAAATAATACGTTTAAACAGCTCTGGCAATAACATCCCAGATACACCATATGAGTCTACTTTCATTCTCTCTCCAGAACATTGTCGAGCACATCGTGGAGGTGTCACAGTCCATGTGGAGGCATGCCTGGTTTACTGCGCAGGACTTTGTGTACTGTGGTAGCCCCCCACATGGAGGTTACATCAAACTTGGATCTCCTTACCAACCATGATTCTGTGGTGTGAGAATTCCATTCTTGACCAGGGGCACTTGGCCAGTTTGCAGAAAGCCCTCGCTGGGGCCTCTAACATCCTCCTTTGTACACAGAAAGTGATGTCTATTACAGGAATGGGTGTAGCTGAAGCCAGGCAGGTCCTTGTTTAGCTGCTTGGGCTCCTCCCTCTCAACTAGCTGTAGCAATAAAGCTTGAAGAGAACAGTACTCATCTCCGTCTTACTCCGGTCCTTCTCCGGCAACTAAGTTTCGAACACCGCTGTGTACAGGGCCTGAACCGTATTGAGGCCTTTGAGTGAGGGGGAGGTGGTTGCTGATGGGGGGAGACTCTTCAGAGTCCTGCTCCGAGGCCAGTGTCTCCAAGTTCTAGGAATCATAGGCCACATTCTCATCCTCCTTGTGTACGTGTAAGACCATGCCCCCTTTTGGTGAGGAAGGGAGAGCAGCCAGAATTGCGAGGGCCTGCTGCCTAACAATGCTGTTTGAGACACAAGGCTGGGAACTGGCCCTTGGGCGGGATACGGCTTGGGTCTGTGTGGCTAAACCCCGAGGCTGAAATGTGAGCCGCACACAGCTCCCCATAACACACTGCAGTGCACATGCATAGGAGCCTGGGTCAAGTGCTTTTGATCACGGAGGCCATCATGTGGTGCCAGGTCGCTGAGTAACGCGAGTCTGTGATGGCGGTGTGCCCACCGTGGCTGATCGAATGCATGGGCACAATCCGTGGAGACAACGGCATGGACAGTTCTTCTGTGACCTGGCCAACCTCTCTCTTCTGGGCACCAGTTATTTGCTTGTGGAGGCACGTAAAAAAACATTTGTGGCTTTGTTACTCGACCATTTCTGCTTTCTGTGGTCGCATGCTGGCGCAATTAGAACTTACCATATTGTGGTGTCTGTGTGTTTAGCTCTATCAAGCCCTTATTCATATATGTTAAATGGATGAGAATGATATTTTGTGTATGTGTTTATTTTGTTTGTTTAATCAGACTGGGAAAGTCTAATTTGCAAGTGACTTGGGTTACCAAAATCAAAACAAATAAAAAGGAGAGCAATAAAAGATAGAAATTAGACCAAAAACCTAAAATGCTACAAAAATAAAATAAGCATTTATACAACCTACGATTAGACTCCATTTTGAATGTAAGTTAATTTGGTTTTATTCTGAATACTGACATTGAATTATGTACAATTACTTTCAGCATCTCTTTCAAAGGCTTAAGAATACCAATTAAATGTTATATTTGAGTTTGTTGTGTGTATATGCATTATTCATATAGTGAACTCATATAGTGTATAAGTATAGGTCTAAAAAGACAAAGACCCCTGAATAGCCATATATGACACTTGAATAAGTGCTGTTAGTGAGCACCTATGTGGTGTACCCAACAACCATGCCTTACCACCTTTGCCTCCACAGTGGTGACGTTTACACACCACACGAGGTATTTGTGTAAAAGTAGGGCCAAACTCATAGAGGCCCAGGATATAATTAAGATGTAATTTGCTATTGCAGTTATTCATGGCCGTGAATCGAATCTAGGATCTCACGGTACAATTCATGAACCGAATTCCTCACTAATATGCGCACACATATTTCAGCAAGCCATCTCGAATAGAAGAATGTGGAGACTATGGAAGACTCGCTCACCTGCAATAGCCGTCTCTGGATGCGATGGTGGCGAGTGAGAAGAGGCAATCGAGTGTGGCCAGCTGTGCCACGGCCGCACGGAAGTTATGGTAGTGCTCTCCAAACTGCCTGGGGGTGGCAACAGGAAGGGAGCAGCGCTGACCTCTCCTCCACAACATTTAAAAGTCCATTCTAGATTTGAAGCTTTCGTGACTGCAAGTATTCATATTCTTAGATTTTTTTCGGTAAAGTCACGTAGGTAAAAAAAAGAAAATTTAAATTAATAAAAGTAAAATAAAAATAAAATAAAAATCACGACGTTTCGGAGGCAACACAAGCTTCCGTCTTCAGGTGGAACCGTCACAGCACGCTTGCTGTATCAAGTAAATGAGAGATTCCAAGAGATACTACCCTGTATATATACTGCTTGAGGGGGGGGATGGGCCAGGAACGGCCCACTTTTTATTATTATGGTGAGGTGCGGCTTGAGACTAGTCTACATAACATAACAAAGGACTGAGACTTTACCGAAAAAAACCTAAGAATATTTAAAAGTCCAGTTCATGTCATTCATAGAGCACACGTTTCTGTCTAACTCTGATGGAAGGTTACTGTCAAAACGTGTTTATGCCACCCTGATTATACGCGTGTACAGTTTTGTGTAACGTCTGCGAGTGCAAATCTCAACTCGCTTAGCACAACTTCTGCACTCGTGTTTAGATGTTTCAACAAGGTGTACGCTTCATTTTAATATCTCGCTTAAAGAATATAAACTGTCCTTTCTGTATAGAAGTTTACAAAGTATTTAAGGCCAAATGCATGTTTTTCCAGGAGGATAATACATCTATGCGTGATTACTTGTATTCATTTTTTATATATCTGTATATTAAATAGTACAAGCACTCATAAATAAACCTACCTTTAACTTGGTACACGTGTTTCATTCTCAACATTTTAAGAACCATTCTTTGTCAAAATGAACACACACATGAATGTCATAAGAAGACAACTTAACATTATTGATTGAACAAAAGAAACCCCAGTGGTAAAACCAAAAAACATATGTAAGAAAATGAAATTTTAAACATTTTCTGCAACACTGCTCCACAAAATACAAGAGCGCAAATTGGGCACCATCTCATTAAACCCATGCTGTTACCTGCACACAGGCACGACTAGTTGAAGATAAACACGGTGGTTAAACCAACTCAGGAGTGTGGTGCTGCTCGGTCATGGCTACTTTGCGTCACGCACAAGTTGCTTCTAACTGATGGATGGGAAGCCAAGTGCTTGTCAAGGCAGCCTTGTCCACTTAATATTGTCCCCATCACAAACACGACTCGCATTCTCAATGCATAGTGGGAATCTTGAGATTACTGATGCAGGCTGGATGGCACAGCAGTTACAATAACATGAATTGAAAGAGAGAGAGGGCATCTCAACAACAATGATGCTCTTCGTAATTTCCGCAGGGTACCAATGCACTGCATCAACGCTTACGTGGTTTCCTGTCCCGTGCCACTAGGCTGTGCTGTAAACTATGCTATAAGAATAATAAAACAGGTGCAGTGGGTCCAACTGAGTCGCAGACGTTGTTCCTTTTAGAGGCAACACTTTTATTTGAAACACCGTAACACAAAGGGGTAACTGCTTCTTTGCCAGATTACAGCGAATTACTGCTACGAAGGGTCGATCCCTCACTCGGGTCTCCGACCACGTGGTTGCCTCGTAAGACAAAGAGCTTCAGCTTGAGACGTAGAGCTTCCCGCTTGTAGATGTTGAGCTTCCAGCTTGTGGAATGCAGCGACCCGACATAAGGCGGGACCCGCCTTATATCCCTCTCTGGTCGGGGCCGCTCCGCCCTCTCGATCCTTCTCAAGAGCTCTACGGGGTCAACCAGAGTGCCATGGCCCGGTGCAACCCTGCCCCTGGGCTGACACTCACCCTTCCCCCTCGGGGGAGCCTCCACCACACGCTGTGCGTGGTGCCCTCACTATCCCAGTGCTCGCCAAGCCCCACTATGGCTGGTACTACACACAGCCACCCACACGGTGCTGTCCCTGCTAGGGCTGGTACTACACACAGCCACCCACACGGCGCTGTCCCTGCTAGGGCTGGTACTACACACAGCCACCCACACGGCGCTGTCCCTGCTAGGGCTGGTACTACACACAGCCACCCACACGGTGCTGTCCCCCCTAGGGCTGGTGTTACACACAGCCACCCACACGGTGCTGTCCACGCTAGGGCTGGTACTACACACAGCCACCCACACGGTGCTGTCCCTGCTAGGGCTGGTACTACACACAGCCACCCACACGGTGCTGTCCCCCCTAGGGCTGGTGTTACACACAGCCACCCACACGGTGCTGTCCACGCTAGGGCTGGTACTACACACAGCCACCCACACGGCGCTGTCCCTGCTAGGGCTGGTACTACACACAGCCACCCACACGGTGCTGTCCCCCCTAGGGCTGGTGTTACACACAGCCACCCACACGGTGCTGTCCACGCTAGGGCTGGTACTACACACAGCCACCCACACGGCGCTGTCCCTGCTAGGGCTGGTACTACACACAGCCACCCACACGGTGCTGTCCCCCCTAGGGCTGGTGTTACACACAGCCACCCACACGGTGCTGTCCCTGCTAGGGCTGGTACTACACACAGCCACCCACACGGTGCTGTCCCCCCTAGGGCTGGTGTTACACACAGCCACCCACACGGTGCTGTCCCCCCTAGGGCTGGTGTTACACACAGCCACCCACACGGTGCTGTCCCTGCTAGGGCTGGTACTACACACAGCCACCCACACGGTGCTGTCCCCGCTATGGCTGGTACTACACACAGCCACCCACACGGGGCTGTCCCTGCTAGGGCTGGTGTTACACACAGCCACCCACACGGTGCTGTCCCTGCTAGGGCTGGTACTACACACAGCCACCCACGTGGTGCTGTCCCTGCTAGGGCTGGTGTTACACACAGCCACCCACACGGCGCTGTCCCCGCTAGGGCTGGTGTCACACACAGCCACCCACACGGTGCTGTCCCTGCTAGGGCTGATGTTACACACAGCCACCCACACGGTGTTGTCCCTGCTAGGGCTGGTACTACACACAGCCACCCACACGGTGCTGTCCCTGCTAGGGCTGGTACTACACACAGCCACCCACACGGCGCTGTCCCCGCTAGGGCTGGTGTTACACACAGCCACCCACACGGTGCTGTCCCTGCTAGGGCTGGTACTACACACAGCCACCCACACGGCGCTGTCCCTGCTAGGGCTGGTACTACACACAGCCACCCACGTGGTGCTGTCCCTCCTAGGGCTGGTACTACACACAGCCACCCACGTGGCGCTGTCGACGATGTAGGAACATCTAACGGCACGACCCTTCCGGGCCGGCACCGTACAGTGACATCCCCGATGTCACTACACATGCATAAAAAAATAAAGCGTTTTTACATCACGCCGTTCAACGAAACTGTATCTCACAACACTGCACAATGTGGAAAACACGTAGGTACGATGTTTTCAGTCAATTAATGGGTGTCTATACATGTGAGAGTAAACTGGAACACTCGGAGGAAATCAATGTGTGCGAGGGAGCAACTCCATCCATACAGTAGCAACAGATGACATTAGTCCACACTTTTCTGTACCGCTTTCTCCACATTACGCAACGGCTCAGGTGCGCTGCAGTGGCTGCTGATGCAGTACTCACGTGAGGAAACCCAGCCACTCGGCGTTGCTGTCGATTCGCAGTTTCTCCCGGAGCTGGCAAAGCTGCTTGAACTTCTGCACCACGAAAGGCGTATGGAACCGAGTCACCGCCTTTGTACTGTGTTCAGAAAAAGAAAAATATATATTACTAAAAAATATCAGTCAAAATATGTACGGCTCTGATATTGTAGGTGCGTACCTAGGCTTTGTGTCCAGAACTGTCCAATGCATGTGTAATGAGCGACTTCCGTGACACGTCGAGTAGAGGGTACTTCTTTATTACGCTCACTGGGCACAACACAGGCCAACACCTGGTCTTCTTCACACTGAGTATAACTCTAGGTATTAACACCTCTACTGGCTACACACACAGCCAATCACTCTGCGTGGCCCCATTGCCCTCAGTCGGCCACGCCTCTGGCTGGCGGCGTGACGATGACCGCGATGGAAACCACGCAGGAGATTTTCCACGTGGCCGGACAACGGAGAGATATGTCGGCGAGCAGCGACGCAGCCAGGACCCAAGACCCCACACACGAGCCCCGAGCCCTGGGTCCACGCTCCCTTATATCCCCCCAGGCGTGGCTAGGCCCCGCCTCCGGTCACGCCCTCTCGTGGAACCTTCGAGCAGGTTCCCGGAGTACCTCGGCTAACCCCACCTGTTACCTTTGCCCCAGATACACCTCTTTCTCTGATTGGTTGGTACTTAACCGTGCCCATACCCGTGATTCCCTTTCCGGCCCGCAGGTGTCACCCTGTCATTACACGTCTGAAAATTCGTTCATGAAAAAATATGCTAAAGTTATCGTTGAGGGCATCATTACAACTCCCGACTTACCGATGTCATTGTAACTTCTGACTGATGTGTTTGAATATGATATTGTCACTGGTCTGCTATGGTAGCTCTTAACTAGGGTTATACAGAACATATTCTTACCGTCTCACTACAAATCTTCACACTTGTCTTGACAGTCCAGAAAATAAGCGTACGGTGTGTATCTATCTATATTAGTTATTGCTTAGATTGCATCTTCCATGAACATAACACAAGACACTTTGCCTATATAATGCTTATCAAGGTAAAAGGGTCAAAGGTATGAGAGTTTATTTGGAGCTGTGCAGGAACTCAGAGGTAAGTTCGGAATCAGAATACTTATGAATACTGGATGAATCCGATGAGCTATAAAGTTCTTTTCCACATATGTCCAGTAGCTTGTTTACATGAAGTTGTTTATCGTGGAAATTAGATTCTTTAAAGTCGACATGCATTTTTAGTTTTAATTTAACCTGGGTGCCCATGTGGTATTTGGAAACATTAAGGCATAGCCTTATGAAGACAATGTATCATGTATTTTGAAAATGTTACGAATTGTAAACAACTTTGGAAAGGAGTGTACTCCAAAAAACAATGGCAGGGAGGTATCATTGTGGATCATTATAATTGCTTACATCTTAATAACCAAGACCTCAACCTCAGTGAGGATATGGTTTAATAGAATGGGGCTCCCTCTAAATAAGAGTCCTTGGTGAATTTCTTAATTCATATAATTCACTATATAAGGAAACATGTAGACAGAGTAAGGTGCACTTTCATTGTAGAAATAACATACTCATGTGGTGGACTGTATTCAGGAGTGCATTGCATTGTTACAACTGATAAAACCCAATATATAACTGATGCTCAAACAAAGACCCCCATTATAGCCCTTAACAGATTATTAAGGCAAGAGCTGTTAGCGAGCGCCTATGAAGGCCGGCACTCGGGTCGCCGAGTTCGTAGCGCAGCGTGCTAGCCACTGCACTATCGCTTCCCACTAACTGTGCTCATAATCCGTGACTCTCACGTTTATAAGATGTGTCATTTGAATAAAACATCCCCGAAACTTATTAGTTTTAACTCTTGATAATAAAGGGTAATTAAGTGACACAGCTGTGAAATTCTGAATTCCGAGTGGTTGTGCAATAATAACGTAATTACATTATACCTTGGGGATAGGGCCTTTATGGAAAGAAACACTTCAAATGCATTAATCCAATGTTAAGACTGTATTTGAAATGCGGTGATCTGGAATCCTCTGTGGGTTTTTTTTGAATTAAATCCTCAGCAAATGTCTATACTCACTATGGTATGGATATCGTCTAATAACTAATTATAAAAGCTGTGCACGCGGGCTGTCAAAGTCAAATATTATGCACTGCACCACCACACCCCACTTTGCACATTTCGTGCATTCGTGCACGAGCCTGACTTGGGAAATAGGTTTAGAAGAAATGGGAAAGAGCACAAAAAACCACCTTGACATTTACAGCACAGCGTAGCACACGGCACAGAACAATGGACGCTTATGGACAACCCAAACAGAACACACCATGAGGGTAGTATTACTGGCTGCAATAAGCAAATGGAAATGATACACGATACATTTTTTGAGCCAAGGAACATTTTCTACACATTCGAATTTAAAATACCAAAGGGAATCGTTTACTTGCAGGTAGCAGTGGTACATTTCCTTTTAGATATAAACGTACAGAAGGAGACACTCTTCAGATCACCTAGGTAATGCATCGATTGCCACCTGGTGTCAAAAGGTTATCACTTCTTTGATGCCTTTGAATTGCAACGTCACGCAAAACAATTCCTTAATAATTTATAATCAGATATATGCAAAAACAGTTACACTGCATGTTATTGTGAAATTGGGAATAAAATTACTCAATAACGATCAGCAAATACACATATACACTTGATGCCTGCCATAAGCTTTGCGTGTGCATATTTTAGAACACATTCTAATAAAACAAACAACATAGAGATGGAAATTATGAAAATCTGACGAATCAGGGTCATTGGAGATAAGACATATATATGTTTAAATAATTCCCAATATGCTAAAATCTAAATAAAGTGGGAAATTAATTCTAGATTTAAAATTATTGTATGAAATAGCTCTCTTCATACGCTACAGTAATTTTGCTGGAGCAGCCACACCTGGTGACGGATGCTTGTGTTGCTTCCGAAACGTCGTGATTTAATTTAGTTGTTTTATTTTTATTTTATTTTGGTTTTCACCTATGTGACTTTACCGAAAAAAACAAAGAGTAAAGTTGGAAATTATATAAGAAATAAAATTCAATGGGAAACCTATCCAACAATTTGAACACATTTTCTTATAACATACATTCTAATTTGTCAAGGCATATTCCTGCTCTAGCAGATGTTTTCTGGCAATACGCATGGCTAGAGACAATGTCAACAAATATCTGAACGCGTTGACAGCTTCCTTCCAGCTAGTTAGGCATGAATCAGTCCTCTACCAGGCTGTCGTTTTCTCTTAAATTAAGTACATTTGTGCATGCACCTGAATGCATCTGTGGCAAAGATAAATGCTTATGATTCAAGCCAAACACTAGCAGCCTGTGTTTACGCATATATGTACACATTATATACATGCACACACTTGTGCATTTATATATATTATATAATTAAATGAATCTAGGTTCATAAGGGATATATAAAAGTTTAGAGTATAGATGTTAAATATACAGCATGTATACAGCACAGAATATATATTTACACTGAATAATGATTTGATTTAGAGACAGCGCCTTATACGCAAAGGCGTCTTAGAGGGCTCTGCTTTGCATCTCAATTCAAACATTTGAAAGGGCACCCCCAGTGGCAGCTGTCACTGTGGGCTCAAAGTGACTCAGAATCTGGAGGAATTCGATGAGCTATGAAGCTCTTTTTCACAGGTGTTCAGAGAGGGAAGGTCAGAACGTTACAACAACACAAAATACAAAAACACGATAGGAGTGAAAAGTATAGGAAAGGTAAACAAACCACTTAAAACATACAGACAAATTAAACTAAACTATTTTTTTATCTTACCAGGTAAAGCCCACTGAGCTTTTCGCTTCTTTTTCAGAAGCGACCTGCCCACAAATGATTGCTCAACAAAGTGGCTAATCATGTGGAAATTTATAGCAGCAAAATAATCTAAATAACCTGGCCTGCAAATGGGCATTTTGTCTGTCAGCTGTGGGCAATTATTGCTATGCCCAATCCCAAATTGAGTCATTTGTAGGTACTTTTTGAATTTGAAAATGTGTATTCTTGACGCCTGCACACAATGACATCAGGGGGATCGTCAATGTCCACTGTGAAACAGACGGCGCGTAGTGTCATCGTGGTTATTACACCCACATATATAATCAGGGCAGCCGCTGGATTCGAACCGTGAACACGCTAATGTTGGATTTGAACAAGCGGCGAACGCGCTAATGATGGGCCACGTCACACTTATGAATAATATACTGCAAACATATCAGTGGATATCCTATTAAACAAAAACATATGACAAAGCACATAAATGTAAAAGTTACACCTCTAAATTCATAACACCTTACTAGAGGATGAATCAATCGTTGACCTTAGCTTGTAAACATTTATTTATTTAACATTTAAGCATTGTTTCGATTTTTATGTGTTGAGCAGTTTACACATACAGTATATGAATATATAAAAAGGATAATCATCTTGTAATCCCAAAATCCAAATCCCAGCACAGTGGAAAGGCCTGTTAATCTGGGGGAAAGGGTTGTGGTGGTGATTTCCAATGCCAGCTGTTAAACCTATCGCACGCCGCGTATAATGAAAGTTATAACTCTGGCGGTGTCTCTTGTGGTTTACGTAATGATGCCACAACGGTGGCCGAGTCACGGACGCGTCCTTTTGCCCATGAATTTGGTGGGGCATGCAGTGTCTCCCGACCCAAAGTGAATAAATGCATTCTACAATCGCCCCCTCAACGATTAATTGTCTGCATCACTCACCATAAAACAGTCTCAGACTATTCATTGCTTTAAATCCCCATCACCAGCATTTCCAAATCAGTGCCTTTATCGGTTGGTCGGGATGCATTCAGCAAGCCGCTCATCCTCAGATGTAAATCGGTAAGAGGAGTGCTTGATCTAAAGGAAATCTCACCTGCCAATCTTTACCCAGTTGGAAGGAACTGTGTGTAGCATGGAATTCCTCACTTCTATTAAAAACTGGGAGGAAGGGGGGGGGGTAAAAAAGGCAATAAAGTATTTGAACAAACAGAAAAAAAAGCACAAGATATGTTATGGCATGATACTACAGAGTGCTTAGGTCTAAAATTGTCACAACTGAAGTGAATAATAATTATATTAGTACAGAGCATTTAATTAAGGATCTGAAAGTGCTGCAAAAGACAGGAGACAGAATGAAAATTTAATAAATACTGACAGAAAAGCCTTTCCACTTTAATGCTCTCATGCTTATAAACAAATTAAAGAAATGTTTGCGTATATGTGACAATACAAGTGTAGGTTAGTGGTCATTAAGCACAGGGCAGCCAGAGTAAACAGGTCAAGAGCAGAGCTATCTGCTAATGAGGGCTTCCTATTCATGGCAATAAGGCAACACCTGTAGCAATGTTGGTCTTTGATTAAAAAAACACTTCAAAGCTCTTTACATCAAATCAATTAGCTCCATACCTAACCCACAATTTCAGAGTTGTAATTATCTGCAGAGGAGCGATCTCTCAGTTGTAATGGCTTTGCGGATGACTAGGTCCTGTACGCAGATTAAATAAATAGATAGTTTTACGTGAATGTTACAAATATTAAAAAGTGAAATTTTTTTAAATGAAACCAAAATTATTGAAAAAACGAGTTTTTCAAATTAAAGCAGAAATTTAAATCTGCATTGTCCTCGCTTAAAATAAAAGCAATTTTGTAATACAGGTATGATTGTGCGTATGCAGTGATTTTGTGCCACCTTTGATAAGATGCTTCTTCTTAAATATAATTTGATAATATACAAACTATGGTAGTTTATTGAAAAAATTGTCACGTAATGTAAAATTACATTCCCATGTCCAATGTCTTAGGCTCTTTTAAACATAAGTTGTATTATGTCCCCAACTGCAATATTCTCTTGGTAACGAGGTGAGATACAAATCTGTAAAATACGAACCAAATTGCAAGTGCACTAACTACCACTCAATATTATACACAGACAACATAAATTACAATGAATTGGAATTTCTAACAACAAAATTACGTCTAAGAACAAAAATGTGCTCAATATTTAGACTTTTTTTTATTGCAATGTTGAGAAAACTTGCATCTATCAGCAACAACTGCACTACTGAAAATCCAATCTAGTACAGGGGTGATCCATCCTCAAAAATAGTAGGCTAAAGGCGGTCAGGACTGGGATGGTGGCACCCAGGAGACTAATTAAACATCAATCTGATAAGCAAAATGGAATCACAGTGTTCACGTCCAGTTCGATTAATAGATGTAATGTGGACTACATAGAAAACCATTCATCATTTTGTTTAACGCCAGGACTTTGTGCTTTACCCGGCAATAGTGCTCTTTAAAATAATAAAAAATGATGCATAGTACTATTTACAGTAGAGTTAAACTCTTTTTAAAAGCTTATGTAGATTGAAAAAATTCTTAGTATTTAACAACAAAAAGTAAAAAAAAAGCAAAATACATTTCTTAAAATGTATTTGTTTCTTTCTTTGGCAAATTTTCACCCCAACATATGGAGTTGTGTCACATTATTGATAGTATGATGGTAACTAATCATTTAATGATCAAACATGGACCGTGGAAACTTGTTTCAGAATGCTTGTATTCCCCAAATGCATGGGAAACTCACTATGATGCCTAAACAAACGTAACATGACCAGATTATGCACCCAATAAAAAAACGTCTGCAGGGTAAGTCTTCATTGTGATGTTACTCTGCTACGATTTTCTAACCAATAAAAATATTAGATTTTTTTTTTATCAGCCAAATTGAACTAGAGTCCCCAGAAATGGTAGAAAATATTTTGAAGGCATGCAAAGAATGTTGAAACTTTCCAATTACTAATTTATTATTTTCTTTACCTAAGTGACTTTACCGAAAGAACCAAGAGTATGGATCCTTGCAGACACGAAAACTTCAAATCTAGAATTCCAATTAAAGATTTTAATAACCCCACAATAAATAAGGGAGGCCAGATAATTATCATGGTTGGCTATGTATGGTGCAAAATAAGTTGAACATACATATATATAGATGAAATATATAAATGTGTCGTTAAAACCCACCACCACCCGACACAGCCAACTAGTAAGGGTTGTCACGGAAACAGACCATGCCAACATGATAAAACTCATCTTGTTACATCTATTCTACTTGCATGTACTTGAATGTTTTAAACATACCCCTTATTTATCCAGGAATTATTCAATAAATATGACTGTCCTACATTGGGAAGTATTATCGATTGCACGAATGAGTATTTAGCATGTGGGGGGGGGGGGGCAGGGGGGAGGTTGGGAACCAAAGTATATTGGATCACAGGCTTGCACTACCATGCCCGGATCGGCGACTGCACGCCTTGACTATGGTTCTCGGCCTGTTTGACACGTAGACTTTGGCAACCAATATTATCCACAATAAAGGTTTTTTGTGGGTTATCTTTAACCCACCAACACCCAACACAGCCAATGAGTAAGGTTTGTCAGGTAAACAAAACGTGCCAATTGGTTACTACTGCAGCACACCGGTGCGTTGGAGAGTAAACCCACAACATTTACAATCTTGAGTTCTCAGCCTGCTAAGTTAGACGCGCCAGTTGGACGGTGGCAGCAGCCACTTCTAGGGGGGGGCAGGCACCTCTTGGCCGGAGACGGTGGCGTAGTCGGTGGCTGGGCTACGCAGAGTCCGCCGGACCTCGGTACGGTGCTTCCGGAGCTCTTCCAAGACGGCCCGGATCTCCTCGCTACGCCTCCGCATGCGGGGAAAGCCTGTCAGGTCCGTGAATAGACGCGTCTTGTCACCTTCCCTGCCGAATCATAAACCCACGTTACAACAACACTTACCATAACAAGATTTTATTTCTGAAAAACACCACCTAGCCAGTGAGTTGGAGCAAGTACACAAAGCCCTCAGGATGAACGGATACTCGGACCGTACAATCCGCAAAGCTTGTCTCCCCAGCCATGGGGAGACAACCTTCTGATGAGCAAACCAAAACCATCACTTTACCATACATAGCAGGGGTTACCAAAAAGATTTCTAAAATCTTAAACAAACACAATATCCAGGTTCGTTTCAACACAGTACACAACATCGGTGATTTAATCCCATCTGTAAAGGATGTGATTCCTGACATGCAATACCCTGGTGTCTACAAACTGAGTTGTGGTTGCGGCAGCAGTTACATTGGGGAATCGAAATGACATGTCTCGTTCGTGAACACAAGGCAGATCTGAGACATGGTAGGACCAATACCTCTGCCGTTGCTGATCATTGTTTTAACGCTGTGGGCTCACACGAAATTGATCTCTCCAAGATGGAGGTACTCTGCAAACCTACCGGCTACCTTCAGAGATTTGTTCACGAAGCCATCCAGATATATAAACACAGACACAACTTCAACCGAGAAGATGGGTACAAACTGAGCAACCATTGGAAGGACGTTATTAACCAGGTAAAGTCTTAACTGACTGTGATGTTTTCCATCCTACCTGCCTATGTCAACTGTTATTTCCGACTCTCCGAGTACATCACCAGGTTAAATATCTGTGAGGCGGCCCAGCCACAGGAGGGATCCCCGCCACTTCTGGTGGCTGGAACCATCTCACATTGACATGCTCATCTCTCACATTTACATTTACATGCATGTTCCTTCTCTAGCTCCGCCCACTTACCCTTGGGTTGAGCCCACCAAAATGCTATATAAACTCTTGTTGCAGCAGCTCTTTCTCCTGTCAGCTTTCTCCTGCTGTATCTGTTCCACCTCATGACAGTCGCTTGTGTTGCGATCGAAACCTCGTGATTTATGTTATTTTATACCTACGTGACTTTACCAAAAGAACCAAAGAGTACAAGTTATCTCATTGGCGTGCTTTACGTCAAAATATAAGAATTCGTGTACCACAAGCACAGTTGTATTCTTGTGAATTGTGCATAATATAACCTTGAAATTATTTTAGATCAACAAGTCAAATGTATCGTTAATGACGTCAGCCGCCAATAAAGGCATTTGTTTCTAAATTGTTGGCAATTTTGCATTCACAATGTCTTTTCAGACATGAGGCACATTATATTCACGTTGAATTTCCATCAAGGTCAACAAATGTGTCAGAATCATTCTAAACATGTGGGGAAAATTCAATTGAAAAAAAAAAGTCCATAAATATCTGGTCCTTTCTTTTCAACCATAGCCAACGAAATTAAAAATTAACCCTCTATCTTGTCATTGACCGCCTGAGAGATGAGATGAAGGGCAGGAGTTTTGTCATCAGCAACTAATATATCTGATCTGAAACGCAGCAGCTTTTAAAATTCTTTTTTCCCTTCCTTAATAATTCAAAATGTGTTAATGCTTGCACATTTGTCTCTCTCAATGCTTTTACTTAAATCAAAGGCTGCCAAGCATGAGGTAAAAAAGCACCGACATTGTTAGAAGGTTATTGGGCAGTAACAAATTGATGAATTTAATTTAAAAAAATTGGATTTTCACATTGTTAATTCTGTTAAACTCAAAACACATGCAATGAACAAAAAGTATGCAGAAAAAAGTAAGGATTATTTTCATTGTTTTTTGCGAATAAGAAAGTCAAATTTCATTCAAGCACAGCACATGAGTTAGAAAGTAATGATTCTATGGAATGATTTGTGCTCGAGTTTAATTTAGCATTTAGTTGTAAGACTCTACAAATGTAAGTCACAACAACAGAACCGTTATTCCTAATATTTCAAATTAAAAACAGCAATTAGGTTTGCACTTTGATGCTGAGACTTTATTATTGGATGGGAAATCTGGAATGTCAGAGCCGGTCTTTTATCAAGTACCTCTACATCACCAAATGCCAGGTGTGATGGAAGAAGCACCTCATGGCATTAAGCGTTAATGAGAAATGACTGCAAAGCTATCCCACAAGAGAAGCTCTCCATTTCAGGCCAATTCTACAGAGGGCCCAATCTAAGACGTAAAAAACACAGCCATAGGTTTTGAATGCGTAATACTGCTCCGTGCAGGCTATAACCTTTGCAAACCAATTACAATTGAATCAGGGAAACTATGATAATTGTATACTCAAGCTCCGTGCAGGCCAAACAATATTAGTTTTAAAAAGGAACAATATTAGTTATTGTGTTCGTTTTGTACAAAATTTACATTTAATAATTTATATCTACAATCTACTACCTATCTGGAAAAAAAATTAAATGGGTTACAATTGCATTACTGCTTAAGTCATCTCAAGGTTTCCTGTATTATACATAGATACAATATAGTAAACATTATAACTACCTGCCTATGCTGTACAAGTTGGTCTAAAAGAGTTAGAAGTCTGTCTTTTGTAATTACAGTATTTCTGCTCAACATAGACATTTACACAGGTTAAAACAAGTGTTTCAATGGTTTCTACAGAATGCCCAAATGAGAGCAAATTAATCGACACGATCCTGTGAGTGGCACTGCTATGCCAACTCCTTCACTAAACTACAAACATTCCAGAATGAATAAAACAATAAAACATAACCCAATCCCCGATGGGAGCTGGATTTTGCATGTTGGGCCTAAAATTGCAAGTAAAATTAAATGGCAGGAAAACATTGGGAGACCACCCAGGTCAACACAGATGGCAACAAGAGCTGCCAGAAAAAACAGAAGTTATTATTGAGAACAAGACAAAAGGCCTCGGTGCAGATGTCTCACTTGGCGGCCTGTTTGTCCAGCACACGGGTGTAGTGCTGTATATGCTGCAGCCGACGTGGCACATCCAGGAGGATGCTGAGCAGGAGCGGAGAGGAGAGCTGGTCCTGAGCGGATGCGGCCAGTGCGTGAGTCTCTGTACATAGTCTCTCCAGGCTGCTAGCAATGAGGCTGAACTCCTTTGTTGAACACTGGGTAAACAACATGGCAGTATTTAAGCTGATACAATATGAATAAAATGAACAAATAAAACACACTTCAGCAAAACATTTTCTTGCTGTGGTTTTCCCACCTGATGATGATTGCTTGTGTTTCAATCGAAACGTCGTTTATTTTATACCTAAGTAACTTTACCGAAAGAACCAACGACTACACATTGTAAAGTTAAGATTTAAATTGTACGTAGTAATACCGAAGTAGGCAATGTGTGGTTCTGCAGTCTCTTTCCATATTTGAGAGAGGATTTCAACATCCTCAGGGCGTAACAGATTTCTGGACGTGATTAAGGCCTCCACCAAGTTGACTTATCCCAGATGAGTACTTGTTAATGTGTCTGGTTCTACATAATTGAAAACCGTCGACTCTATATGACCCAGAACAACCTACTCTCTGGTGTGCTCACAGGCAAAAAAACAAGTGCTTGCCTGAATTACTTACCCCTAATTACGTGAATATTGCACCTTTCATCCACCACCTCACCTTGACATTACTCATGCTGTCCGATTTAAACACATATACTTGTATTCATCATTAGTCATGGGCTGGCGAAGCCACTGGGACCCTTCATAGCCACCAGGGTCATTCGTGGTAACTGTTCTATTCTGACCTGGCATAAGGACCGAGACCTTTGAGGTTTAGGCAACAGTAACTTTCGTACGCATAGACAAAGCAAACCAAGCCTTTTTAGATGTTAAACACTCGGTACCTTTCTGTGATAGATGCTGGTCAGTCCACGTTCCAGGTCTGGTAGCTTCCAGAGCAATTCCTTAGCACGGCTCAGCACCATGTGTTCCGATGCCAGGATTTCACTCACACAGTCCAGACGTGCATTGATGTCACTGCGAGGGCACACATGATTAATACTTCTTGTGCCAGCAGTAGAATTACTAAGCATACAACAGTCATTTACTTAACGATTTAAAAAAATGTCATTTACAGTATTGAGAGGATGGTATTATACTGCAATGGGCACACATTAAAAATGTGACTTACTATAGAGAAAATGGATAGGCTTGTCTGTATGCTGAAAAGTGTGTTTTTAGTCTATAAGCAGACATGTTTTTTAATAATAATAAAAAAAGGTTTTTGGGTTAGATCATGTAAGTATAAATGTGTCGCAACCCTCCACCACCTGACACAGCCAATAAGTAATGGATTTGTCACGTAAACAAAATGCCAATTAGTTACTACTTCAGCCCACCGGTGTGGAGAGTAAATCCACAACATTTACAATTTGAGTAATTTACCAGTCAAAGAGTTCTCATGATGTGTTCATAAAAAAGTACAATTGTAGCATATATTAAGCAATGCCCACAGATCAAATGGTAGAATTGCACTGCCTCTTGTTGTAAATTCTACAGCAGTGAAATTTCGATTTAAAGCTTTCGTGACTGCAGGGATTCATCTTCTTAGTTCTTTCGGTAAAGTCACGTAGAAGGGAAATAATAAAATAATGAAAATAAAACATTAAATAATTCTCACAACGTTTCGGCCACAACGCAAACAGCCGTCCTCAGGTGAAGAACAGGTCTGTCGGAAAGACAGCGTCTGAATGACGCAGTGGTTCTCTACAGCAGTGGTTCTCAACCTTTTTGGTCTGGTGGCCCCCCCAATTAAGACCACTGGCCCTTCCCCCCCAACCATGGTCCCTTTAGCATACCCCAACCCCAGGTTGCCAATCTACAATACACAGATAGATCACATGTCCACACATTTAGTCAATGCGGAGTGAGGAATAAGATTGTTTTATGTTGTGCTATTAGTGTGTTCTGTCGCCACAACCTCGCTCTGACGTGTCCTGCACACATTCGAATATTTCCTACAAGGTATCCATGCCACTGCCTAAGCCACATTTGAAAGGCTTTTGCATCCTCACAGGGGGACATGCCACACGGGTTAAGGACTGCTGCTCTCCAGTAACAATCAGAAAGACCATCCATAAGAGGTTTTTTAGGGTTAGAAGATACTGGACGTATACAGTGAGACAGAAGAAAAAAACGCAGATCCTACTTTTTTCACGAATCGAAATGTGAAAGCCGAATTCAATACACTTTAGTCAATGCATAATTTACTCAACCGGCTATTAAAACCAAAACTAAACATTGCGTGGAGAATAGGGTAAATTACGGAATTCTCACAATTTGTCATGACAATGTTATGTTGTCATTTAAAGCATCAGAAGAGCCATTAACACTTAAATAATAGCTGAAATGATGCATCAATTTGATAGATTCTAACAAGCAATGCATTATTTTTCCGATCGATTAATAAGCATCTATTTTTAAACAAGAACCTCTCAAGTTCCAAATATTTGTTGAAAATAGGCAAGTGCTAACATAAAGTAAAACATGTATGCATGTATAACAAATGGATATCTATTTGACATGCTTTATTAATTGCTGTGGACATTACATGTTAAATATAGGGTCGTGCGTTCATCAATTACATGGTAGTAAAACCAAAAAGAAAGTCCGAGTGACAACAACAGAAGGAAAGTGTGAGAAAGAAGGTCTTGTAATTTTATTATTTCATTTGCTATATGTTCATCCGAGAGCTCTGAATAAAACAAAACAAACATGTTATACGAGTTTCACTTCAAAAATATTAATTTATTTTTCAGAACGTAAAATAATACAACTATCCCAAAATACACAAATTTGCTATGGCCACTACTTTCTACACCATAGGCATGAGTAAAACTTTCATGAAAGTGGATAACAGTTTCCTGAACATTATAAATTAGGGTTGGAGATCCAATGGCTCTTATGAAATTCAAAAAGAAAAAAGCACCGTGAAGGATTGGAAAAGGTAAATACACAGAAAGAGTTTGAAAAATAATACTGTTTGGTTGATGACATGGAAATAAGTATTGTCATACATATTTTTTCGCCATATTGCTGTACACCCGCAAAAGATCTAAATTAAACCCTGTACCAATTGCAGATGACATAGGCAGAACAAAATAAATGGTTGTCAGAAGCCGTAGGCATGATTGGGAAAAGTTTCCATGGGAATAAAATTTATCGTTCAAAATCCTTCATGTCCATCAAAGGGTTGTTATAAAATGACAAATGTACCGATCAGAAATAATGTTGCATTGCTATTCTTATATTCCAATGCAAATACTATTTTCAATGTTTAAAAGACTTAAATAAAGTGAATGTCTCGACCATGAAGCCAAAGTCATTAAATATGATCATCGCATTGTGAAACAGCTATTCTGGTGTTATTAATTAAAAGCGTATTTGCATAATCCCCTGATAAGAGATATATAATTTGCAAGAGTCTCAATAGATGAGAATTAACATGTACATATTTTATCCAAATGACAACAGATAGATAAAAAGGTTGATCATTATTTTTCTTAAATTGGAAGCACAAGCAAAATCAAGTCCATCATATACCCCAGTAAACTAGTCACTTTTCAGATAAGGAGGAAGATATTCGAAATGTCAAAATTTAAGTATGCCATTTTGCTGGATATATAACTGCCATTCATACATGTCTCAAAGTCAGCCACTAGAGTAGACAAATTGGCTAAAACACACAATGGATTTCTTCCGAGTTAAAAATGTCATAAAATGAAACGGTGCTTTTGGCACAGAGATCAGAACGACTGCTTCAAATATCAAGGTGCAGAGAATAACAGCCGATGTATTAATCATCACCAAGACATCACAAGTACGTTAAAACACAAACCTGACTGACACTCTTTTCTGGTAAAGCAAATCGCAATGTCAAGAGTTCTTGTCCGTGGCGATATGCTTCAACGTATAGTTTTTTGTTCAGGTTAACAGGTCGGCACGTATCTTAGTACCTTACTGAGATGAGCGGGCGGCCAAGCCAGCTCCTGAACATGCGGCGACCAAACGGAGTGCACGTGTGATCCATAGCCCACAGCAAGCTCCCCTTCACCTTGCCGTTGGTCTACAAGAAAAATATTCACCATCAAGGAAAACGTTATATATTTTGATGTACTACAGTTCAAACTACTTTTGAATAACTGCAAACATTTTAAAACTGATAAGTTTACTTGTGGGGTAGAGTGGTGGCAAGAAGTGGTTAGATAAAGCACTGTGCCATGAACCTAGCCAAGTTCGATTCCCAGCCATGGCTAACATAGATGGTGAGGAATGTCTGAACCAGTCCAGAACCGCCCCTTCACAAACCCACACTAGCATGAAGTACGGTGGAATATATCTCATGACAGACAAAGCGTGGGGAGACCTACATCCAATAGTGGAGTTAAAAATGAGCTTAGAATAATTGGAAATGTACAATCCTGTTGTGAAAATCACGGAGAATAAAGGCTTATTTATTTGTTTGTGTCCAATTGAATGATCATCAAATGCCCTTGCAAACACGAGACTAATTTTTTTTAATCAGATACTCTCATCAAGGTAATAGATCTAACAATCACCTAGAGAGATAAAGAAATGCTCACTCAAACAATTATATGATATCAAGATGTAATGTATGTAAGTATTTATGAAAATGGTTATATTATTGATATTACCTGATTTTGGAAAAGCTCCATATTTTTTTGTGTAATTCCATTGATGTGCAAGCACTCACTTTCCATGGAAAATTTCTGAAAATTGCTGCGAAGTAAATACAAGTAGATTAGTTTTTTTAAATAGAACATTTCCCATTGCAATTTATCCAATGTATATATAAAATATTTAAACATTTTTTCGACACGTTTTTCTGTGGGCTTTGGAAAACAATTACACATACTGCCGACTCATGTAAACAAATAGAACATGCATCATTCCCGATGTTATGAATACAAACATCGTTTGTAAATTCAAAACACAAATTATCCGATAACAGCATATTTTTCAGCACATCCCAAAAACACGTTTTTTTTTTCGCGTGTGAGCACAATTATCAAATAGCGCCAGCTCACCCCCCCCCCCCCCTTTCCAAAGCATGATGGTACATCTCAAAGAGCCCATTCCACTCGGACCGCTTAAACGCATCCATCCTAAATGCCACGTGTCACAGCAGGCCAGCGGAGTTCCCAATCCGTGCACCAGTGCGGTCGTGCAAATGACAGCTAACATTTATTGAGAATCGGCCTGGCCGCTCAGCGACAGGCACTGCATTTATCACTTGGCAAAAGCCGACTTGTAACGACAGGGCCACCCTGCCAAAGCACTGGCTATCTGGCCACCTGACGGATGGACGCACAAGGGGTGCAGCAATAGCAGTGCTGCATGTGCACGCATCATCCCCATCCAATATTCCCATACGCCAAAACAATTGGAACATTTTGTTAGGTCTGCAATTTGATTTCAAATCGGCCAATTTTCTAAAATAAATCTGTCATTACGCAACGAAAAAATACATTTAGGTTTACTGAACGAGGACGTTGAATTGCGGTTTAAGTGATTTATTATTAGACCACCTTACACAATAATTGAAATTCTGATATTTTATCAAGAGTGAAAAAGCTGCTGCTGTGGCGCCAGTGGAAGCCATGTTCATCGACTCCACCTAGTGCCCAAGTGACCACAGTGAAGAACGCAATCGGAACAGCAGTAGCCAGTTCAACTTCTTGATCCGACATGTATATTTTAATTATATTTCATTCTACAAAATAGTTGTATTCGATCGTGCATTATTATCCAACAACATGCCATAACATACAATATTGAACATCTAAAAAACAAGAGCGTATTAATTTTTATTCATTTTCATGGTTATGTTTATTACTCTTGTATACGGAGCCAATACTGATCTGTAAATACCACGTTTTTATAATATTGTATAGCCTAAACACACATTTTTTTCTTATTACACTCAATGTATAGATAAAATAAGGAAACATGAGCTTTTGTATTAATAACATGTAATGACAGGAAAACTTTAACATAAATAATGTGATGTGATAGGTAACAATAGGATTTGTCAGGATTCAGCCAAAATATATATATATTTTAAACTGAATATTAATTACAATAATTTTAAACCCTTTGTCAATCCACTGCTGGATGAAGGCTTTTCCACTGCATATCAATCACGGATGTTGTTTGACCAACAACATCCGTGGTCGGCGTGGGTTGAAGAAGAGTGGGGGGAAACAACCGGATCGGATATCACTTGTCTCTGATGTGAGCCACAGCTGGGAATCAAACTCAGGTCACCTGGTTCATAGCAGAGTGCGCAAGCTACTGGACCACTTGGCTTCCCTCTTTGAAATCACCTGGCTGAGCACACACTTATTTCACCCTCATTCGAAATCAAAATGTTCAGACTGTGCAGTGTGTTTTCATTGAAAGGACATTTGATTGTTTAATCTACATTCTGGTACATCCACTGCGAAATCCATCATCATAATTGAGCTTCCATAACTGAGCGATGGTTGACCAGGGGCTTCGACGAAATTCCTTGACTCTTGGAGCAGAACGTCTATGCATTGTAGAAGAGTGAAACAGAGGTGAGGACGTGTTCGTACCTTGACAGGTAAAGCACCCTCTGCAGCCCAAACTCCGTTAGGTAGTGAATAAGGACCGCTAGGCAAGCAATGATGGGCTTCTCCATAGCCAGCACATGGGACAGCTTCTGTTCATCTGTTTACACATTGTAAACAAAAAAACAATTACACCAATCAGCACATAAAAAATCATAAAGTTACACAAACTGGAAATACGGCACCATGAATCAGAATATCAGAATATGTATTTAAACTGGAGGAATCTGATGAGCTATGAAACTCTTTTTCACAGATGTCCAGTAGGGGCAGGTAAGAAGGTTACAACAGCAAACAGTAAAACAACATGATAGTAGTGCAAAATACAAGAAAGGTAAACAAATCACCCAAACACATACAAACAAAACTAAACCATCCCCATCTTGCCAGGAAAAGCCCACCGAGGTATTCACTTATTTTTCAGAAGCGACCGGGCCACAAATTATAGCTCAAAGTCGGCAATCATTTGTACATTTATAGCACCAATCTAAAAAATAATATCTCAATGCGCTGGTTTGTCTGGAGCCAAAGTGAAAAAAATTATGTTCTGGCAGAACAAACATCAAATTTTACAAGGTTTGTCTGTACACTTCAGTGATTAGGTCCTTCATTGCATGCTATTAACTGACTCAGTAAATCCTAAACTAGGCATGCATACATTTGAGGGTGGTGGAATGGTGGCAGAGTGGTTGGTCGTCTGTGCTTTGACACTGGTGACCCAGGTTTAATTCCCAACCATGGTTAACATCAGTAGTGACTGATAATATATCTGAACTGGTCCTGGGTCCTCCACTTCACCAACCACACTACACAGCGTGGTGAAGTATGGCCAAACAATCATCCACATTGAACACAGTGAACAGAGGCCTTCATAAATCAGTGGATTGACAAAGGGATCTATATGACAGCATGTGAGAAGCACTCACCTCTTCAAATGTTTTCTTTAAAACATGCTACAAATATGAAGTACCTGTATTAATAGTTTTTCTTTTTAAAGAATATTTCATTTGAACCTATTGTTGGATATTTGATCAATATGCCTTGTATGTGATTGGCTTAAGATCACCTTTGAATAGAGATCACAAAGATGTATATTCAGAGTCCTTTTGTTAATCCACTGCTGGATGATGGTCTCCCCTCACCGTGCGGGTTATTTGGCCATACTTCGATACCCAGGTTAGTGAATGTTGGTGAAGGTGGGGAGCATAGGTGTGGGAGCAAAGCACAGTACAATGATGGATTTTGCCGTACTATCCTCTGCTGCCCACAACGTAGCCCCCAAGCCTATAATAACATGACCATAACCCATCCGAACACTATCCCGGCACAACTCATTTAGATTCAAAGATGCGACGAGGTCAGTGGCATTCTGGGTGATTGGTCAAGGCAAATAGAATCCGGACATGGAATTATACGAGTCTATGCTACACAATAAAAACACAAAGTACAGCAGTTGACTTCTAGGTCATAGCTAATTTAATGAGTAACAGGGACACTACTGACTTCATCAGAAAACTCACTTTTTCTTCATTAAGAGCCTTTCAAGCACCATGTTTATGACAAACCCATGCACGTAAAGTCGAGTCAATAATGCATGTTAAGAACTTGCATTTAAATCTTATAACTGGATAGGGATTCAGTAATGAAAATGGAGTGTACCACATAGGCGGATTACGAACGCGCATGACTGCATGCATTCTTAAAAAAAATCCCACATTAACTTATAATTACAGCAGACAATTCCCACCAGCTGTATTCTTGCATGCTGTGGCATGCTGTTTCCATCCCCAAGCGAATGATTGCACCCTTGCTCTGCCTGGTGGTTAGTGCGACCCCACGACCCGCACTCTAAGTGGTTTTGTTTTTCCGTGTGGTTGTGCTACGATTGCTGTGGGGCGTGAAATGGTGAAATTGTCTAATGTGTGCACCGTGCTGCTTTAATGTAGTAATTTGGCAATTTTTATTCTCACCTTCACGACGCTGACACATAATTCAGCGCTGTCAACTGAGGTGCAGAGGGAAGAGCTAAGATTAAAGGCCAGCCCAGAGGAGACCACTGACAACCCTCTCCAAGGTTCCCTTTTTCAAGGCATTCGGAATAGCAGGACGAGGCAAAGTGCTTGAACCTAAATTGTTAAATCCCACAAAAGTACAAATGCAGCTCTATCCATTCCAGGTAAATATGGTACTTTTAAAATGTGCACATCTTTCAATTTGCAAATGCCCAAAGAGCAAGGGTTTCCTCTGCATGAAATGCACACAAAGGTTTACATTTACACACGTGGCTATTACAGCCAAGTTAATACTTGGAGTGCATTTCTTTGAAGATTGACTTGTACTGTATAATTTAGTTGTCTAACGCCAAACATTCTAAGTTATTGCATTTTCTTTTCATTTCTCTCTACCAAAGTACTGCCCCACAGGCATTCCTTTGTGTTTTTTACACATTTTTAGTTTTGAACGTTTTTTATTGTCAGCCTGGTTTCATTACTTTATTTTTATCTGCAGCTTCTTATAGCAGAAGCCTGTGGAGGATAAATAAGACCATTTCATGACTATTCTTTGGAGGAAATGTTATCTTGCGGTAGGCAAAACCAATAGAACCCGTTCCTTTGTGCCCAAGCTCAAAATATTATTGAACTGGCAAGATTAGATGCAGTGATGTCCAATTTTAAAACTTTGGAATTTGATTTTCAAACTTATACAGAGGTCACTGTAGCGTAATGGGATTTTTTAAATAATTAAGTTACTGAGGAAGAAAGCCTGTAATTCTTCCTGGCAATCAAAACTGTCTTGAGGTTTTACTAGGGCGTATTAATTAGTTATTTACATGCCACTATAATTACACAGCTAATACTAGGTAAAAGTTAATTAATGGGTTTTTTGTTTTCTACCATAATTAAAATTAATGCTTAATTAATTAAAAGTATGTATACACTAATTATTATATTTATACGTAGAATAAAATTAATTAGAGGCAAATTCATATATTCGTGTAAAAATGGGCAAGTAACTTTTCTCTATCTATTTGACCATTTTCCACAAATTATCAGTATTACCGCATTAATTGGCTCTAAATATTTTGTAACATGAATATTTATATTAACTTTGGTCAATATATAAAGTTAAAGGCAAGATGTTAATAAAACCAGAACCATGCTGGGCCACTCTTTACCATCTGGGCCACTCTTTATCATCTGCAGGGCATCTAAACAGCACCTCATTCAGAGTCCTAGCCACGACATAATATTCGCTTTAACTACCACAATTCTAATAGTTTTACATTTCCAAGTGGGAGATTGAAATCAAACTTCGAGCAACTCCCATTGTTGGCAATAAACTTGCAGCAGTCAAATCATTCAAATCTGCAAATACAAGTCTGCCTGTGCTGCAGCTCAGTTTGGGGAGATCCCAGAAGCAAATCAAATATATTACCATGATTGCAGTTGGACTGCAAACTCTCGGCCCCGAAGAAACGCGAGACGGCTTGGAAGGCTCGGCTGTGCTCAAACAGATCAACGTCCACACGTTCAACACGTACCCGATCGTCACCCTGCGAGCTGCAACAACAACAACACGAGACTGTTTGCACTTGTAAGGTGGCATCGACAATCATTGCAATGACAACTCAAGCATAAAGATGATAGGTGGATTTTTTTTGTTTAGATACAGACTGCTTTCACTGCTGAGCCTGAAGACACATCAATGGTTATGCAGCGTCAAAACGAATCAGAGATCAGTGGAGAGGAGGCACATTCTAGCCCCAGGGATCACTGTTTTTTTGTTGTTTTTCTTTGGGTCTGTTGTGCTTGTCATACTGGGAAACACTGTACTGCTTGCCACTATCCATTTAACAACAAAATTATCTCTACACGAATTCAAAAATGTGTGCTAATTGCCCAGTGACGATTAAATACAGCTTCATGCAAGCACCACAAATGAACAGAAGAAATTTAAAGTGGATCATCTGGGGTGCTCTGTTTGGGGCTGTTTGGTATTGTTAAGACTTAGCTAAAAAAACACATGACATTTTAGCCCATGACTAATTTGCACAAACATAAACAGGGCTAAAGTTCCATTCAAGCAGATCAAGTGTAACAATTATCATGTGTTAGTGCGGCCCAATAATATGTAGAGCAGCATCACTTTCAGTTATGCACCAAAAAATCCAATTAAATAGACAATTGATTCTAACTATCAAGTTAATCTAGGAAAGGAAGAAAAACCCTCCTCTGTTCAATCATCAATTAATGTTATTGTCATATTTTCTGCACTCTGAGAAGGTTCTGTTTTTGGTAAAAACAGCACAAGCAAAAAATATTGATACTCAAAAACAAATACAGTGAAACCTCTACATGTTTTTAAGAGAACCAACCAAATTGAATATTCGATGTGGGAAAATATTAATTTGCAGAATAACTAATCGACAATTTTGGATTTCTTTGAGACTTTGAGACTTAAACATGTAATATTTATGCATAAATGGGAAATAATCGTATCAGCAACTCATAATGTCTGCAACGGCATCTCAATCTGAACCAAAATATAAAAAAATGCAACAGTGTGCACATTTCAGCACTGTTTGCAATGAACTATTTTACAAATAGCTTATTACAACCTCCACAATTTACTCCCTTGTCATTCAGCACTACTGCCAGTGTACATACCCTCAGGTGAAGAACAGGTCTGCCGGAAAGACCATTCAGACGCTGTCTTTCCGACAGACCTGTTCTTCACCTGAGGATGGCTGCTTGCGTTGTGGCCGAAACGTCGTGAGAATTATTGTATAATGTTTTATTTTTATTATTTTATTATTTCCCTTCTACGCGACTTTACCGAAAGAACCAAGAAGATGAATCCAGTGGTGAGTGAATTCTGAACCGGTTCTGGGCCACCCCTTTACCAACCCACATTAACAAAGGTGACGAAGTATGGTTAAAGACCCCTCATGACCGACACAGGATAAGGAAGCTTTCATCCAGCAGTGGATTGATATGGGAGTTGAACACTATTGTATATATATATAGTACATTCAACAACCTACCAATAGCATGTGATTCATTCAGTTATTTATGCTAAAGTATCAACTTGGTGAGTCCATTTTACTTTAAGAGTGAGTGAACAAGTGCTTCATGAAATCCCACTAATCCTTTGCACTGGCAGAGGATTAGTGGGATGTTGTCCGAAAGCACGTAGCTGATATACAGCTTTAATAAGGGCTATATTGCTTTCAGCTAATCTGCTGCAGATGGCCTCGCATATATTCTTAGCCCATTACAATTTAGATAATCTTTGTTTCTGCTTATAGTATGTGTGGAAACACATTCCTGCGAAGGGAGCTGGTAGGAACGTTGGGTTGCTCGGTCAATGGCCAGGGTCAACGGCAGGCGTGCTGTATTCCGCAAATATGCCCGACTGTGAGGGCGGGCACAAGCCGGTGTGAGTAGGTTAAACATTGAGTTTTATAAGGGCACCACGGGGTGACCAGCCCCTCCCCACCCAGCCCCACCCTCCCCACCCAGCCCCACCGTCCCCACCCAGCCCCACCCTCCCCCAACCAGCCCCTCCCCACCCAGACCCTCCCCACTCAGCCCCTCCCTCCACACCCAGCCCCTCCCTGCACGACGGACGGACACAATAATCCCGTGGGCTGGTGTAACCAGGAGGTTCCTACCAGTAAAATGCCTCTTCCAATTGTATTGGTGTGGCAACACCTGACTGACTCAGCACTATATTTCAATTGAAGTGCTCCATCCAATGTAGACACAAAGGGATTCATGAACAAAAATAATTAATGTTTAGTCGAATGGATGGATTTTTTGGTGAAAAACTCAGGTTAAAAAAGCATCACATTAGTTTATCATTATATAATTGTAACATACATGTCTAGTTGTACAATGGATATTACTTTAACACTTAAATAAAAAGCTAATTGAAACAAAGTGTTAAAAAAGGAAAAACTATGTGTTTCAATAAATACTGATTCATGTCCTGATAAATATAAACCACTGCATGTTATGCCATTTTTCAATTACAAAATAGCTTTAAACCCTTTGGAATACTCCACATAAAATACCATCAATCTATATAAATTGTAATCCTATCACATGCATAGGCAAATTATAAACAGCATAGCATTTTAAAGCAAATGTCAGAGCAGGCATTCCACAATCATTATAATCCTTGGCTCCCACACACAAGCGCAAATATGCCAAGCCTGCCAGATGAGCACATCGCGTACACACACGCACACAGCACCACAGCTTGTAGCAGGAAGGGATTCCCCACTCAAAATGTGATCACCAGTGGGTGTTTGCAGGACAGGTCCAACCCTGAAGGTGACAACCATATTCCTCTCCCCTGGGACAGCTCATAATAACGCCAGCACATCCCTCTAATTATCCTGGTATGAAGAGGCAGTCTCACTGGCAAGCTAATTACTGGAGGTCTATAATGAATTAAAGTGCAAATAAGTCACTTAGTAACAACTCAAATGAACCACCACTGTATATTTAACTGATACGAATCATTGTAAATAGAAAACGTTACGAGTAAAAGTGCACTTAACATTCACTGATTTTACACATGGCCGCATACAGGTGGGCTTTTTAGTTATATTATCACACTCAACAGAATTTAAGAGAAGATATCGCAAACAGTAAGTTCACGTGATGACCATGGGCAGTCGTGGGGATGAGGCAGGAAGGGAGAAGGTGAGCACAGGAGATCAGAGCTGTGGCAGCAACAACCTCCACCACCAGCACATGGCAATGGCGAGACAGAGATCAGGCAGAGGGAGACACTCAGCAATGCAGAGAGAGACAAGATGCAGAGCCATAGGGAAAAAGACGGGGATACACAAATTGAGACATGACAGACATATACATATCAGGAGAAAGAGACAAACGAGACACAGAAAGACAGAAAGAAGAATACAAAGTTTCCAAGTGTAAAAAAAATACAATAAAAATACCAAAAAAACATATGGCTTCAAATTGGTATTCAGAGAGGACCTATATTTGGTATATGGATAATAAATAGTATCGTATATCTTTAGTACATGACCATAAAAGCCAGCAAAATATTAGCTACTGTAGTTTATGTTGAACTACCGTTTGTTATCAAGACAAACCTTCTGGTAATCCTGTTTCTTTTTAAAAACATAATTGTTGCCTTTCACTTAAATTTATTCGCAAAAACAAACTGCCACAATTTCGCTATCCTTAGTTTGCTTGGCTGGCACCTAATTATCGAGTCTCAAAGGACACTGCCAGCAGCTGTCACCAAAGGAGCCTTTCACACTCTCCTGACACTCCTCTGCTGGCTGAAGAGAAAATATCAAACATTCCATTAAGGGCTGGTCAGATACTGGCTGAGGGCAGTCGGTGAATTTACGTTTCGTTTGCTGCTAAACTACCAGAACCAATCCAACAGTGCCACCTAATCATAATTCAAAAAACTAATATCTATTTTGTAAATGAAAACACTGGCATTCAAAAAACCCATCAATGTCACAAAAAACGAAATGTGGAAATAGTGTGAATAATTTCATCGGTGAAGCAGTGGCACAGCGATTAAGCTATGCACTATGAATTCTGTAATTGGAGTCCAAATGCCGGCTATGGCTATTGTCAGTGGTGAGTGATATCTCATAACCAATCCCCCTTTGCCAACGAGCACTATCCATCATGGTGAAGTATGGGCAAATAACCCCTCAGTACCAACACAGAGTGGGGAGGAGGAATTCATACAGCAGTGGACTAAAAAAAATCATGTCTTAGCTACAGACCATCATTTTTGTGTAACAGTCAATGGCAAAACCATTTCTAGGATAGAAAGATGGGTACTCTAAAAAAAGCTGCTGGTGCTCAGGTAAAGAGTCTTTTCAAATCTACACCACTTGGCTCTGAATGTGGAATTAAAATCCCTATGCATCTCGCACAATTATCTTCAAACATGACACTAAGCATGTGGCTGACATTTCTTTACTGAAGTCCAGATTGTCATGCCAGATGTTAGGCTTTTTTTGCAAATGCAGCACTTAACATTTGACAATGAGCTAATAATGAATTTGCGCATTAGTGAAAAACCTATTACAACATGTGTGGTCCCACTGGATATGCATTATGGACAGCCATGTGTGGTCCTGCTGAATGTGTATTATGCAAGCCAAGTGTTGTTCCCAACACAATCCTGTACTATACATTTACTAACATTTAGAATAGGCAGATACGACACTAGCAGGAAGCCCACGCTACTGCAGGCAGCCATCACCCCCACATAGCTCCCCCTGTCGAGCCCCTCTTCTGTCACCCACTTTCTAAAGTCACACTGACAGTCGAATTAAACCTAATTTCAATGACAATTGCTCCTGACCAGATGCAGGAAAAGCCAAGTCTGACTTCCTGGATAACAATGGCAACTCAACACAACAAGCCACGCAAGCACAACTGTACACTTCACTTTCTTACCGACACACCACTGGCCAATTTGCGAAGGTGAGGAAAAACTTTTGCGAGGAAGGTGGGTGGGTGCGGAGCGTGTCGGTGGCCAACTATGAAAACCGGGTTGAACGCAAGTATCAAAACCCTGTTTAGTCATAACATTGGCCACAGACACTCTGACTACACAAAATAACCCATGACAGCACTTAGCCAGAATGCCCCGACTGGGTCACCGCCGCACCACTTTCATGAATCGGCCACCTTGAGCCCCGAGCAAACCAAGCCTGTAATCTTTTGTGAATCTGGGAGGGGAGCTCTACAATACGGCCTTGCAGATTTCTGTCCAAGGCACGCCAACTATGCTAGCCCAGGACACCACCAACGACCCTGATGAAATGCAGATCACACAGGTCAGCTTGGATGCCTTCATTAACCCATTCATTACACGGTAACGGAAAAATGTGGAACACTACAAAATATAATGTAATGCTCTTTCAAATAGTTGCATGTGGACGTTCCCCAGAATAAGATAAAATATGTATTCATTACTTATTCTAATGCTGCCTTAATACACAAGCGTAATGAATACACAAGCGTAATGAAATAGCCCAACCTTCCACTTTAAATTAACTCTCGTTGAATCGTGAAAGCCCGTCATTGGAAAAGGGGGAGGGGCAATGGATTGACCAGTGCTTAAGCCGCTTATATTGTCCACAGATCACGTTTACTTTGCCGTGTTTGCTGAATTACTGAATTCATTCTCAAATGAAAAAAATGAAATTTGTCAATTAAAGCACACCGATATAAATGTGGATATAAAACTTTAATTCACATGCAAAGGTATGTCCTAATTTAATATACAAACAAACACAGCTTCCTCTTGACTTCACCCTTAGCACTGGCACTATTGTTCATGCTCCAAATTTGTCAGTTAGGGGCATCCTGCCCATGGTGTTTGTAAGCAGTGGCAGCATCGAGACAGTGACGAGATAATTTAATCAGCCGCTCTTCATTGTTTGGCAACGCCACAGTGAGAGAGATGGGAGAGCACTGACCTGGGTCCACAATACTTTGTAGAGACAGCCGGGCAAACAAGCAAGTGCCAAAATTGGACAGTGCCTTTTGCAAAGAGGCCTTACTCTTGTGTTTGGACGCACAGTTTGGCTGTGCACTGTGTTGAGTGACTTAGCCACCAATGCAAATTATACTTGATCTAGTTATATTGGGCATAATACCCAGTATCGCATAGTTTTGACGTGTTTAAAACATTCTTCAGTTGATGTGAATATGCATGTATGTTGAACTTCTCCCACTGTGCATAGGAGGTGTGGGGGAAGGACATCAAACTATACACAAAAAGCAGTTCTAAATAAATTTGTTTTCAATCTATATTTAAAAATGCATAACTCCAGTGGCATCCCAATTAGGGGATCAAACGAATGATGCATTTCGGTAAGTTTCCAGCAAAATAACGTCTTGTTCTTGTCAAACTACACAGCTAACTTGATACATTTGTAGAGCAGTGAATGTGATGTTTACTGCGAAAGACATCTATTCCACATGGTAACAACAATGCAATGCAAATAGATGTTGCTATAATCAGTTTCACATCATTTTTTCTACTACATGGCAGATAATTTTACCAGTAAAAAAGTAAACCTAAAACCTTTTTCATAAATTATTGTCCAAGTGTACATTAAAACGTGCTTAACAAGAATGCATTGCCCTATTGCACTTAAAATAATCTTATAAAATTCACAAATTAATCAACTTAAAAACGTTAACCTCTGTGATTGATATCTTAAGGTACAAAAATGTCTGAAATAGTCCAATGTACAATGTTTCCAGAACATTTCAGCACATCTTTAAAAGCATAACAGATTACCGAAGTACACATTTGACAAACATATGAACAGGACCTTTAAGAAAATGTAAATTCGCAAATTAAACAGAGAGAAGGCAGTAAAGAGATTTGCACCCATCCACTTTGTTTTAAAATATGTACAAAATGGATTTTGCTTGTGAAAATATCCGTGCAGAACAGGCTCATTTACTTTTAAATGAGTTCATTCAAGAGCAATGAAGTGCACTGACTGAAGCAATACATGAAGGGAAATATATGTTGATTCAGCACTCATACTTGATTGTGATACAGGGAAAGCCACATTTGCATTTGCTGGGTACGTGCACCAGTGTACTGCCAGTTTCCCCATGTATTAAGCAAATAACAAAATAATTAATGTTTACAATTTTTATTTTCATTGATTAAATATGCTTACCAGAATAGGCTCTGAAATATATGTGAATCTTGGCAAGAGCTTTGTTTTATTCTAGTTTTAAAATGAGATATTTTCACAATCCATGTTTTTTTTTCCTTGTCAATTGTCACAACTGGCATACAAAAGCCTCTTAACTATAAAATAACAGTTTCCACTTTTTTAAGGTTGCTCAATTGTGTTTTGATTAATAAGACAAAGATGAAATATATTTAAAATGGCAACTCAGTCACGGCATGAACGTACAATTCACTGCCCTTAGTCAATCCACTGAAGGCCTCTCCAACCTTGTTGGTTATGAAGATTGTTTGACCATATGTCACCATGCTGTTCAATGCACATTTGTGAAGGGTGGGAGGGTTCCAAGACCAGTTCAGGTATCACTCCCGATTCATTCAAACTCGTGCACCAAGATTCCACCAAATTTTAAATGAATCGGAAGAAAAACTGCAATAAAATATCTTTATCAGTACCGAGGCTCCCACAAGGCCATGCGGGAGAACGTGTGGCACAGTTTGAGAGTGCGGTAGCGTTGCTAAGGTTCTCTGCGGTGAGTACAATGTTTTTAAAAACAACGGCACAATGCCTCTCTAAATAGAATTAACGCTGAACCGCTTGCGCGTTTCGAGATCCAGCGGTGAACGGGACCCACCCTCCAACTTGCTGTCGTCTCGAAACAGGAAAGGGTTAAGGAGCCTATGGTTCAGTGACACCTGTGGGACTATAAAGGGCACTCGCTTTCATGCCGAGGCTTTCGCAATCAGACAAATGTATCGTCAGCGACGTGATCCAGTTTTCTGGCCTTACCTATTGGCTGTGAGCGAGCACAGCGCCCTCTCAGTCTCGTCGGAAAGAGCGGCTGGGATGAGCAACTCCACGGGCTGCAGTGAGAGCACTCTGCTCTCCAGCTCCAGGCGTGACTTTCCATCCTCGAAGCAATCGAACAGCAGCTCTCCAGTGCTGGGCTGCACTGCCTGAGTGGTGAGAAGCAAAGGCATTTTAAATGCGGCAGGGAATTTCCAAAGTTAGGTAAAGGCCAACCGATAAAACTAGCGACCCACAAGTCCTTTTGGACGTGACTATACGTCTGTCCATTCTTTTCAGTAAACCAGTATATTTTCTCCTCTCTCCATTGTATCTCACTCACTTCCTTTCCCCTATCTCTCTCCCTGTATCTCTCTCACCTCTCACCCTCGCGCTCCTTATTCCCACCTCTCCCTTTCACGTCTCAATCTCTCTTGCCTTTCCCTAATCCTCTCTCCCACTGCTTGTCGCTTTCCCTCGCTCTCCTCTTTCTGTTTTGCTCTATATCTTTCCTCTCCGATTCATGCCATTTCTATTCCCCACCCTTCTCCTATCTCTTCTATCACTTTTGTGTGGAATACACGACCGGGGTGGAGGTATGACATCAGCCCAATGGCACAAACCCAGTTCAACGCGGTGGGATGTGGGTCACATCATCATGCAGATGTGCGTGGTGATATCACCACTGCGCACACGTGCTTGCATGCCAGTCAGGCAGGAATCCAGCCAGCAACATTTTTTCTAATATAGTGTGGAAAAATCAAATTAGTTTCCCATTCATTTATACGTGAAAGCGCTCATGACCTGTGACAGTCAAGAGCCAGTGGTATTGTATTATGATTGTTATTGGGATCAAACATCGAAATGGAATTTTTGGCACTTTTTGTACACGATGTTTAGATTTGTGTACAATGAATTTTAGGTATATCTTGTAATTTTATTGTTTGTTGCGGTTGAACCCAAATCAAGAGCCGAATGGCTCACAGGGTAAGTCCTAATAAATGAAACTGAAAAGTGCACATTGCGATGGCAGGTGCGAGTTAACCCATGGTTAAAGTCAACATGGTATCCCACAAAGTACTTACTACTCATATTATAAAACTCAAAGGGATAAGTTAAAGGGCTGATTCATCCTCCAGCTGAGAATGGTACATCAAAACCGTTGTAAAGAAGAGATTGTCACAATTGGTGCATAAGAGTCTTGCCAGTCAAGTAGTATAGCCCGGTTTGATAACCACAGCATCACTCAGAAAGATAATTGTATTAACAGGTGATTAACCATGACTTTTATACTAAAATAAATGTCTCAAAACGATAAACAAATAAAAATGTGATTCAATGCCCTTTCAAGATGACAGGTGAACATTTTATGAACGAATATATATTTGAACAATGTGGTAAATCTAGTGGCTGCAATGTATTACAAATACCATACAAGAAAAATAATCCATTCTCACACACACTTCTATGTATGTACTGTAAGCACTAATAATTGCGTTGAATAAATGAATAGGAATATCTCTCCATGTTACCACTCTTGAAAACTAATGTCAGCTATGTAAAGAGGCATTAAAATATTAAATCTGCTTTACGGTTATTTTTTTGTGCCTTATAAATGTCTCCTTTTCAGGTTCAGTATTCTGAATGGCCTCATACTGTGAATCAATTATTTCCGTGATTTTGATGACTGCTAAAAATATTAAAAACAATATATTCTACCAATCAATATTCATCATCAGGCTGTGAGCTCCAAAGATGTACTGTTGTTATGCCACCAGAGGAGAGATTAGAAGCATGCACTACCTTAATTAACAGCCCTTTTGTGTTCAGTAGACTTATCCGACTTCAAAAATGAGATGGGGGTGCATTGTAATGAGGGTGACCATGGTGTCTCGTGATTAACCCAAGCTGTATTTGGAACGAATTACTTATGAAACATAATTTACATAGCACTGCTTATATGCTGCACCTACACATGATAAAACAAAAATGTAAAGAAGACATTCAAGTCTATGGTTTGAAAATGCACTCAGCACAACAAATAAAGCAGCAACGTGCTAGAAGAAATGGTGCTTCTTGTGAAATGCATGCATGCATAGTTAATGTGAATAAATTTTGCAATCTAGATGTTATCATCACAATTACATCAATGCCAAAATCCGTGTTTTAAGCCTGCAAGTAAAATGCAAAGCTTTAACAGTGCACCTCCGATTAGCACTGTTGGTTACGTAGAGTGTGAACAAAGTTGAACATATAGACACAAGGTGCTCTTCCCCCTCCAACCCAGCTTAAATATACGCTGCCAAGCATGGTGGTGTTCATTCAGACGCTGTCTTTCCGACAGACCTGTTCTTCACCTGAGGACGGCTGCTTGCGTTGTGGCCGAAACGTCGTGAGAATGATTTTATTATGTTTTATTTTTATTATTTTATTATTTCCCTTCTACGTGACTTTACCGAAAGAACCAAGAAGTTATATACACAATTGTGTTTCCCTCGCATTCTACCCATGCTTGATCTGCATATGGTTAAGCTAATTAGCCATACTGTTCTTTCCAACCTATCTGGTTCTTGCGATGGTAACCTTTCATGTTTTTTGGGACACTAAATATTACTGATGTCACTTCAATGTGAAAGGCTTTTATATAAAATTATAAACTATATTGTCTCGTCAATGTATGTGTTAACAAGACCACACAATATGAAATAATGCACCTCAGAGGTATAATTAAAATAAGTAATAACTGTAAGGTATTTTGGGATATAGTCAGCATTGTGTGAATGAGGCGCGCTTAAGTTTGGTGCAGTATTGAATAAAAACCTCCATTCACTCCTTACATGCTAGCAAGAGGGCAGGTGTAGTAAATAAATTGTGATATTTGTACACGATAATAAATTAAGCTCATAATCCGAAACTCATTAGCGGCACCCATTCATCGTCCTGTTCTAGCAAATATAAAGCCACAGCCACTCCTTCCCCTAGGGACTCACCTCATAATAGAATGTACAGCAATGGCAGTTCGGCCAGCCACCTACACACACTATACCCATATTTGACAATCACTGAAGCATGCTGGCCTCGTGTGCGACAATTTGAAACTGGAACAATGTGAGCTGTTAAGTCTCAATCCTGTTTCCTGCTATTTCCCCGAGTAGACAAATGGAATGTCGTAATGGCATATGCTAAAAAAAAGGCTGTCCTATTTTGCGAATCTCTAGGTTGCCCAAGCCCCAAGCATTCACGCTCTAATTCAAGCATTCTAGATTGGAAGGCGGGGTTTTGGGCAAGTTTGTTTTACTGCGGAATTGATGAAACCTGCAGGTTAAATAAGGTGGAGGGTATACCATGGGACCCCCGAAGAAAATAACACGGCATTGACACGCTCCAAACGAGAAAAGCAACCGGCTGTGTGTGCATGAAACCTTCAGTTGAATTCATCTGCGGATGTAATTGAACACTGTCACTGGGCTTATATAGGAGGCAATGATCATGTGGTGGTTACAACTTAATAATTTTATTGACAATGGATATTTTGGAGTAAACGTTATTTTGATAAAAGATGAAGGTATTCTTGATTGTCTTCATAAATTGGTGGCTGTGCCCCTGCATCTTAAACAATTGTATTAATTGTTCTAGAATTTCTTTATAAAGGGTATATGGGATAGTGTTGTACGATGGCAACCAACTTTACAGTACAGTACATTTGTATGGTACATGATCTGGAAAGTGGCATCGAATTCATTGGCAGGTAACAACTGAATGCCCCCCCCCCCCACTCATCCTCAATGAATTGTCACGATTCTTGGTCACAATTGTATTCAGGGACTGCTTTTATTTAGTTTCATTCGTACTCAGGTTTACAATGCGTCTTGTTTATTCTGTTTGTTGAGAATAAAAGTTTCATATATTCTTGTTTTCTCTATTGGTTCTTTCGGTAAAGTCACGTAGAAGGGAAGTAATAAAATAATAAAAATAAAACATAATAAATTATTACATAATAAATTATGTTTTATTTTTATTATTTTATTACTTCCCTTTTTACATAATAAATTATGTTTTATTTTTATTATTTTATTACTTCCCTTCTACGTGACTTTACCGAAAGAACCAAGAAGATGAATCCCTGCCGTTACGAAAGCTTTAAATCGAAAAATATTATTGTTTGTTCGGTCTTGTTAAATGTAACATTACCATATAGTTTGGATACATCATACATTAATTTTAACAGGTGATTCGATGCACATATTGAGCACTATACTATGTTCATACGCTGTAGATTCTTAATCCATGTATAAACTGCAATGTCAATCCTGTCTCACAAAGGGCGGTAATCTCCCAGACATCTTTAAGAAAAGCCTTTCATACTTAAGTAAAATATTTTCACCTTTAATGGTAGAGAACAAAAATTGGCTTTCTCCATACAAAACCCTTGACATCACTGCACAACAGTACATCCAGGGATGTTTACAGCTTCTATACTTCTGGCCTATGGTTTATACAGACGTACCGATTGATTGCAATCCCCAACCTCCAAAAATGAGAGTCAATGTATGCCCATTCCCTTTTAAAGAGGTTTTGCTGCCACCACCTGGTAGTGAAATAGAAGTGTCTTACAATCAACTACCAATGTATGACCCACTTTGTACCTCCAAATCAATAGCCAGTTCATACTCATCTAACATTAACCATTGAAGCATCAACATGTGCTTCACCGACGAGTATGCATTTCTGGCGAAAATGTCCATTACTGGCAAAAACATTAATTATTGGCTAACTTTGTACATTAACGGCAATATTGAAGGGAAGAGACTGAAAGGGAGGTCAAGTGTAGCTCAACAACATATCGAAGTAGTTTTTGTTCACAAGGCTGATATGAAGTGTGGCATGTAACACGAGATAAGGGGCAGAAAACAGCTTGGGGAGTTCAAAAACTGTCAATCCCAGGTCTGGGGATAACACACGATGACATGATGATGATGATGAGAGTGCTTATAAGAGCGCATGCAACAAAAACAATTGTGCCTGGCAAGCCAATGCCATTGCTGCAAAACTCACCACCAGGCCGAAGGTGACATTCTGACCACCCTGGCGGGGACTGGAGCTGCTTGGCACTTCACTCAGACACAGCAGGTAGCTGCTGGGTGAAGCAGTTTGATCCTCATCTTCTTCCGGCTCCTCTCCAAGCCGATCCAATGGGTCAACATGTGCACAGCCGTTAAGTGTCCCGTCGACAGGTCATTTGGATTCACGGTAGGCGGAAAAGGTTTATAGAACTGCAGAGTATGTGAATCTGCCACACACACTCTTGTTGTATAAATCAGTAACCTACAAATCAGCAACCTACATGCAGATTAAATTAATATATAATAGTTGCATTGATATGGAGCTGCAGTATAATATTATAGGGTCAAAGTTACATTTTTTTTTCCCATGAAGGCATCCTCAGGACTTTTTGACCACCCTTTTATATCAGTTTCCAAAAACGATGGTTCACAAGCAACACCACGGGTGCAACTTTTCATGTTTTCCAATCTTCTACATTCAAATGAATAGATGTGCAAGAATCGTGTGAAGGATGTCCTGGAATAACTTGTTTACCTATAAAAGATCACTGTTCAGAAAGTATGGTTTTGTTAAGTGCCGGTGAATTAAATTATTCAGTTAAATTACATGACCAATTGAGAGGAGATGATACAAGAATCAAACACAGATTGTTAGGCTATCCATTAAACCAATGTTTTCTAAAAAAAAGTGGGTTATCAAGTATTTTCCAGGACACCCCTCATTTATACACACTGCACACACCTGATGATTCGTAAACAATTCCCATATGACATACAGCGCCAACTTAAATTAGCCCAGAGATCGTGTGTGTATGTAATGGCTTCATTTGTATGTGAACAAAGACGTAAATAGGAATGGATGCACTGTGGCAGGGCATGAAGACTGGACTTGGGGAAATCCTGCTCCAATGTAAAATGTGTATAATTGTGAGATCTATAGCTACAGTTAACCCATGTTAGAGAGCTTCAAACATTTTCAGCAGTTGGTTATTGATGGTAAATTTGTGCTGCGTCTCAAGGGATCTTGTTAACATCTGTGAGCAAATGGGACATCTAGTGGAACATCTGCTTCTCTGTGACAGAATTAATTTATGTTAGATACCACATGTAAAATATATTTTTCCTAATTGTACAGCAATTAAAAAAAAGTATTCTGTAGTAGTACTATCCGTCTGAAGGATATATACAGTAACATTTCAGCTTTAAAATATATACAATATATTTTGTAAATGACTGACATTCAATGTAAGGCTAGGACAGTGGCCTATGACAAGATAATTTTTGGTGTGTTTAATGCTTAATGTTAAATTAAATTGTATAATAAATATACCGTTATCTGGCCACATAATAAATAATACACAAATTTATAACCAAGGTGCTTGACCCGCACATTCACAAGGATATCCTCTCCGATAAGTGTGGACTTGGTATAGAGGGCTGTTAGCTTGCGGCTGAAGAGAGCACTTTTATTCTCGCCAGCAGCTTTGAGGGCAGTCGTTTCTGTCTGTTTCACCACACCGACCTGCAAACATAATAACGTACAAGTATAACTTACGTACAACAGTAGAATTATCATAAAATTGTAGAATTATCCCGAAAAAAATACACGTGTCTCTTCATATGAAACAATCCTCACCACTTAATCAAACTCAAGCCAAATTGCCCCCAAGCTTTAATGAGCACTTAATCATAAACTAGATAATTGCACACTTAAGGAAATTAACATATCAGAAAAACCCTATTTGCCAAAGTTCCGTACCTTGGATAACCATGGTGATGCAGTTTAAAGTAGATACTTGCATAATAATATTTAATTGTAATATGCCTTGAGCATCGCGCTCTTAAAATGTGCGAACAAATTATTGATAAAACTGTGCAGCATGTAATATGAGAAAAAGGCAGCAGTAGTCTAGAAAAGAACATGGTGCAATGGGAATGATTAGAGTAAAACCATCAACAAGATGTGAAGATAACCTCAAGTAAAATATGGAAAGGAATGTAGGAGGAGGAGTGGTACAAAACCAGAGAAAATGGAAGCTCATCGTTGGTGTTGTAAGGTCTGAAAAGAGACGTGCTAGAATGAAGATACTAAAGTTACGCGACCTTGTAGCCTTTGGCCACAAGGCGTCGGACGTGGATGAAGAGACGATGTGTCGGGATGCTGGCCGTCATGAAGTTGTGGTCTTGGTGGCAGGTGATGTTCAGTTCTTTTGCTGCAATCTGAAATTAATTGATTAAACCAATAATTTGTTCATCAATAAAAAAAATGCCCTGTTGCCAGGATGGTAACAGTTGCACATTGAGCATTACCGTTTCTCCATTTACCATTTTACTGGACTTTCACAAATATTGACGTAATCATATCCTTACACAGATATGAAAGAGTAAACTGATTTATAGCGCTCTTATATTCCTGTGTAAAGAGCGATATATCTAACACAGATAATAATTGTCTAAAGTAGCTAATAATAGTCATATGTTAAGATAATGTTAAACCACAATTGATATTAATCGAACTCATAATCAGCAGCCACTGTTAATACACTGCTGGATAAAAGGCTCTCCCCATTGTGCAGTCATCCCCATGGTCCTGTGATGCCACAATCTTTCTCAGTAACTGGACATCAGAGGTCGCAAACGGGTTTTGATTCCTTACCCGTACCCGGCCGCACCAGGGTCACAAACGGGTACCCGTACCCGGCCGTACCCGTATCGGGTACCTGATTGCGACCTCTGGGATGAAGCCATGTTGAAGGTGCGGGTGGGTTGATTCTAGGAACTTGAATTGTGAGAAGAGACAAGACGTTGGGAAATGAGTGACAGTTCCTCACCAGTGACTCACGGTCTACCCATATCCGGCCGCACCAGGGTCGAAAACGGGTACCCGTACCCGGCCGGGTACAGGTAGCCGGGTATCGGGTAGGGTACGGGTATTGGGTACCCGGTTGCGACCTCTGCTGGACATTTACTGACCATCCTATTGGGTATTTCTCTTTGGATAACCTTCTGTCACGAATCTAGTCGAATGGCTAGCATCCCATCTTAGCACTGTGTCCTGCCCAAGTCCACTTTTCTGAACAGTAAATTTATCCAATTTGCATTTATTTGAAACATGCTACTCTCTGGCAAGCAAACATATCTCTAAACTTTCGTGCACTTTTTCAGCTTTTGTTACATTTTATTTTCTAGTGCCCATGTCATAAAGGATAATATACGATTAATATTTTCTTCTTCAGCCACTTTGGTATGTAGCTTTCCATGATCAGATTTCAAAAGCACTTAATTCTGCTCTAGGTTCACCATTTCATATAATCATTCATCAGCCATCAATCATTGATGTATGTATACATATTCTGCTGAATATTATAGTTCTATCTCCGTATCAATTATTTTATTTAGTACAATCAATTTGAACATGATCTTGCTTTTCTCAAATTTACATTCACCCACGACAACTGCATGCCATAAATAAAAGTTAAATATCACTATCAGAATTTCTACAATTAACAGTTAAAATATAAAAGCATTATTTTTTTAAAGGTTAAAGGTGCTGCCCTGCAATTACCCTCTCATGCCACTGCTGGGAGAAGGGGTTTCACGAGAGGTTCTCGAGAAACATCTTTTAAAGGGTATTTTGGCCTACTCTTTCATGCCTGCAACCTCTGTATTGCAAGTCCAGTGGCAGCATCCACCCAAACGTTTAATGAATTGCATGTTACATGACCTTTCTAATGATACAATTAAGTCACCCTTAAAATCTTTAATATCATCCTGACCTCTGCATCTTCCCCGAAGAAACGGTGCTTGTAGCCACACTCCACCAACAGCAAAGCACCACCTGTGTTGTTCCTTAATATCCAGGTATTGTTGCTCCAAGGGCGTGTATATGGTTTTTGTTCGCTTATTTAGTGTGGAGTCGGCCACCTTCGGTCTCTCCGAGTGTCCACTGTTCGACAAAAACCTTCCTCAGGAATGCCGATGTGCTACGTGACTTCTCAGTCCGCAGTTGCATTGTGGTTAATGTCAGACGTGGTGCAGCTCCTTCTTGTATCCAAGGCTTCCCGACTCTTGTGGGAGCCAGCTTTTCTGTTTGATGCTCGTGTCGTAACCTCTTCCAAAGCCTCTGAAGAGAAGCCCCGAAGCCTCTCTGCTGTGGAAGGGGCCAAGTTTTTCTCCGCTGGAGTATCACACGTCTCCTCTGTAAATGCCAAAAGCTTTAATGAAAACACATCAGTTTCATTTGGTTGCTTTATACTTAATAGAAGTATTACTTTAGCAACCAATAACGCTTAATGTTCCATTTTCCAACAATTTTAAAACATAGCCTCATGAATTGCTTGGCTTATTTATATTCAAAACTCCAATGTATTTAGTCCAGAGACATGTATTCAATTTAATTGAGAACCATTCCTAATATTTCCCCACAACAAAGGCACAATATCATGGGCTATTTTACAACCTCACATTTATAAATGGGTGTGCTTAGTTCAGAATATCATGGAATTAACTTGAAATTCTGATACTTGTAGGGAATGCTTCTGCCCTCCACAGTTCCATATCCATCCTTGGAGCCGGACCCTTTTTCAGTAGCAACACATCTCCAATTACACTGGTCAACACACTTTTTCTGGAATAAGGTATTCCAACGGGTGTAAGGTAATTTTGGGGTGCTGATTCCAAGTCTGGCATCAGTTTTTGTCTATCACATCAGGTTTTTGAGATATTAAATATTGCATTTTTAATAAAAACTGCAAATTTATGCTCATATAAGAAAAGCTAAACAGACATCCATACAAGAATAAGATAATACAATAATAATGAAACAAATATTTAATGAGCCGTAGCACAAAGTTGTGAGAGTGACTGCATATCAATGTGAGTGAATGCATATTACCATGTAAGAATTGAATTGTGAAAATAAGAAAAATATATACAAAAAGGTCATTCACAATAGTGATGTTACATCTGCATAAACGACCTCTTCTTTGACAATCTCCGATGTACAGCTTGTGGAATGTCTCTCATCAAGGACCAGCAGTAATCTGTCATCATGTTTGAGTCCCATCGGTCTTGGTAACGTTCTTCCATAACTTTAATGTCTTTGTAGGGGTGTTACGGAGGGGCTGTTATACAATGGGATCAGATGGGAAAGAAACACAGTGGGCGTGGCTATGTCGGTGCACGGGAAGGTGCTCCCAGCGACGTCCGCATCGGGCAGCCTGGGGGGCTGACTCAGAGCTGGGATCCCCCGGGGCCCCACCCCTCAGCGGGGGTTTTGGTATAAAAGGGGATGAGCCGGAGGGCTCAGAAAGAGATGTTGAAGCTAACCAGTGAAGACTGAAGATCGTCGTAGATAGAGCCCTGGACTCCCCTGGATCGCCGCCCTTATCAGGGCCGAACAGGATCGAGCCAGCGGCGTGGTCCCGAGAGCCAGAGCCGGTGCTCTTGTAAGAGCTGGTCTGGGACTCCGGGTACCGTGAGCCCGACTTACCAGTGTCGGGTTAGCTAGCCTCCCCTAGCCCGTTAGTGGAGGACCCAGAGGTAGGCTAGGCGTAGCTAGAGAGTGTATCCCCAGTTAGACGGGTGAGGGGGCCGATACCCCCTCCAGTGTTGTATGTTAGTGTTGTGCTGTACCGACACGGAATAAATACGTGTGCCTCCAACCCCGGCATCCAAGTCTCCTGGAACACTATTACATCTTGATGAAAGCGTTCACCTTGCTCTTCGTTCACGTGACCCATGTTCTCTGGAAACTGGGCCAAGTGACTATCTAAGTAGTGAACCTTGATGCTCATTCTACATCCAAGTGCTTGGAAACTCAAGAGCAGCTTCTCCACAATCTCTCGATAGTTGTCCGCTTTCCTGTTCCGAAGGAAATTCCGCACCACATCAGAGAATGCATTCCAAGCTCTAGCATTTGCCGCAGCCATTGTTGTAACAATGTATGGATCCATGATGAGTGTTCTTATTTGAGGGCCATGAAATATTCCTGCCTTTTTCTTCTCGGCACTGAGACTTGAAAAGGTTGAACATATACAGCTGAAGCAGTCTCCAGTGTGATCAAGAGCTTTGACGAATTGCTTCATTAACCCAAGTTGTATGTACAGTGGGGGAAATACAATTTTATTCCTATCAACCAGAGGCTCATTCTTGATGTTCTTGTCACCAGGTGTCAAACTGATTCTTGGTGGCCAGTTCTTTTTAACCCAGTGTTCTAATGTAGCCCTACTGTCCCAGTAGCACAGGAAACAAGGGTATTTGGTGTGACCTCCTTGCTGACCCAGCAGAAAATTCACCATTTTCAAATCAACACAAATTAGCCATCCATTAACATGGTATTCCAATCTATCCAGAACAATCTTGATGTTGGCATACTCTTCATTCATTTTTACAGTGTCAAATTGGGATTGAACCGTATATATTTCTGTTGTGAAGTAACACATTTCAAACTCCTTTTACTACGGTCAATAAAAAGTCTCAATTCACTTGAATCATATGCAGGCAGTCCCATATTGAGAAGAAGCCCTTCAACATCATTACAATAACAAGTTGACCATCTGAATGGAAGTACTTTCGCAGTGCTGCTTCTCTGTTACGATAATTAAAAGGAGACACTTGTGCCAGGTCTGAGTAGTCCTTTCTCTTGCAGCCTGGAAGCCAACAATTCAGCAGACTGCTTTGGCAAAGACAAATCTCTTACAAGATCATTCAATTCAGGCTGACTAAACAGAGAAATTTTATCACAATCTGCATCAGATGGCGTATATTCGATCTGAGCATCATCATCATCTGTAGAAGCAGGTAAACTGAGGGATTCAACATCAATCTCTGGCAGCTCAGTAAATACAGGCACAGGTATTTCCTCACAGTGCTCAACTGGTCGTCTGGCAGATGGGATATCTGGGTATTGTAAGTGTTGTTTGTTTTTCTTATTGAAACCTTTCACATTGACAAGGCAGAAGTAGCAGTTATCCAAATGGTTTGTAGGTTCTCTCCAAACCATTGGCACGCCAAACTTCAGCTTAGCATTCTTTCCTTTAAACCATGATCGCAAAGTTTCAACACAGGTTTTACACACTTTGTGAGGAGCCCAATTTTTGTCTTGGTCTCCAAGTCGTACTTTAAAGTAGGCAAGATAAACCTTCTTGACAAAGGTATTGATGTTGCGCCTTTGATCCTGAGAAGTGAAGCTGCCACAGATGTAGCAGAAGATATCTGGGTCATTACTGCATTTCTTTCTTTCGGATGTTGTAGCCATTGTTAGATCACGCCCTGCAGAAGAAAAATATTAAATAAATGTGGATATATACGTAAAATATTATAAACACACTATCCTAAAAATACAGCACCATATTTTAACACTAAAGCAGTCACTGACTCGCAACAACTTGCAATCATGTGACAGAGTTAATTTCGGGTAAAATCAATGAAAATGGGGTATGCCGATAGCATAAAAATGAGATGTGATAGAGCAAATCTGAGATCAGATTTGGAATCAGCACCCTGAAATTAGTCTAAAACAGCTGCAAAAGTCCAGGCCAGATTTTTTTTTTTTGTTGACCAGTGTTATATAACGAAATTCAATGGGAAAACAGTTCGAAATACGGAATTTTGATTTCAGGATAGCTTTTCAGGAACATATCTGTTCAATATATCGAGGGATGCCTGTACTCTCGGGTTGAGTGCTGCTTCCCAGTTTGGCTCATCGCACACACGGAACGTCGCTGTCCAGCTGAATTCGGCGATGACAATTGTAGCTAGCAATCATGACTAAAATCAAGTCCACAGCCTAGGTTACCGGTACTCTGCCATATCGAACCTGCACACCCCCACCATGAATTATAAACTATCAAGATACACACCTGCCCATTCAAACAGACCTCAACTATCTCCCGATAATGCACCCTGAAATTGTAAAAGCCATTCTTGAATACTGTAGAAGACTACGCCGGACACTGGGCAGCATCGCAGACTGATGGGACAAACACTTGGGGAAACGTAAACATCACCTACAATTATAGGGTCCCACCATCCAACCATAAGGAAGCATACTTTCCCAGCAAGCAGTGGGCTACTTAAATCATATCTAAACTTGCTACGGCAGGTGTCAGCAGCTTTATCCACAAATGGAAAGAATCACCAAAATGTGACTGCCCACAACCGTGGAAGACATCAGAAACTCATGTCCACTGTGAGCGTTTCCACATTCTATGACAGGATGGTTTAACTAAGGCTATTATAGAAGAACAAAAAAGGAGTATAGGATGGCCAAGGATTTGGATGTTGAAGGAGCTGAAAGTGTAATTTGTGGAAAACAGAGCCGGACAGTTGTTATAGCCAAAACAGTGAACTTACCGTGATCATCACTGGAAGATGCAAACGCTTCAGAGTCCTCCAATGCTTGACAGGTTCGTTTTGGCTTTTTGGTCGGTGGCACAATCTCTTTTACACCATTTTTCTCTGTTTTCGTTTTTCTCTTTGCTGTAACCTGCACATATATATATAAATTAGACTTTCTCCAAGGCTATTTGTGATATTTTTATGCTTGTTATAAACTGAAAAAAATCACTTAATGTTAAAATTATAAAATTGAGGCAGGTGTTAAATACTAATCCCAGTCAGAAAAAAAACATTTATGCAACAAAGCAACGTTATTATAATACAAAATCGTAATAAAAACATCTGATAGCTATGGACCAAAGTTTTTGTACTCCATTCAAAAAGCAACTACAGGATTAAAATGGTTAAATGAAACCTGCAATTAAATGACAATGAATTTGTGCAACAATACATTTGATTTGACAACTCAATTAAAATGTATAGGATTTAAATAGCTAGTGGAAAGGTAGACAAAGCTAAGCAGACCCCTTACAAACACGGTATTTTCTGTAAACAATCAAGCGTGCAATGTTGACAATTCCCCCTTTCTAAAAAAATAAGAATTGTAAAAAAAACTATCATTAAGTAAATGTGTGAAGGTACATCTACAAATAAGCACTGTTCAACCCCAGAGGTTGAACTTCTGGGACATGACTACATTCAACACAGATGGCATAGGTGATACGTGTGGGGATATAGGCGGCTCAGTGGGTAATTAGCACGTCAATTGAGGTTTCTGTCACGCGTGATTAACCCGGTTCTCAAGTGCGGCAAGTTGATGACATCAGCCTGGTTACTATAACTGCACACACAAAGCCACCATATCAATGCAACTGCTTGCTCACTTAGTTTGCTCATTCCATAAAATCACGTAGAAGAGGAAGTAATAAAATAATAAAATAAAACATAATAAAATATATTATTATAGTATATTATTTTATTACATTAATACATTATTTTATTATATTATTTTATTATATTATTTTATTATGTTTTATTTTTATTATTTTATTACTTCCCTTCTCCGTGACTTTACCGAAAGAACCAAGAAGATGAATCCCTGCAGTCACGAAAGCTTTAAATCGAAAAATTGCTCATTCCAATTTTGATGACTACAAAATAACCGGTTATGCTGATATCCTGGTAAACATGCATCGTCAATCCCATTTTGTTCGAAAAAGTTACACGGCAACAACGTGCCAAAGTTGCACGCTTAATGGGACACGCCGTCCAAAGGACTTGGAAGGTGCGACATTAGTAAGCCACTGGAGCTATGCACTTTAAAAATCCAGATAGGAAACTCATTTAGAAATGCTTTTTGTGTATAGTTTATTGTCCTTCCCCGCAACCTCCGATCAGCACGGTTGGCCACTACCTTCCGAAAGGAGTTCAACATAAATTTCGATTTAAAGCTTTCGTGACTGCAGGGATTCATATTCTTGGTTATTTCGGTAAAGTCACGTAGAAGGGGAATAATAAAATAATAAAAATAAAACATTCTTAAATTTCGATTTAAAGCTTTCGTGACTGCAGGGATTCATATTCTTGGTTATTTCGGTAAAGTCACGTAGAAGGGAAATAATAAAATAATAAAAATAAAACAATAAAATTCTCACGACGTTTCGATTGCAACACAAGCAATCATTATCAGGTGTGAAAACCACAGCAAGAAAACTTTTTTCAAATTTTCTTGCTGTGAGAATTTGATAGTTAAATTTTATTCTTTTATTATTTCCCTTCTACGTGACTTTACCGAAAGAACCAAGAACTAGTTCAACAAACACATTATCATCGATTATGCGCTCCTGCTACCTACCGCCAGTAACGTCAACATGTTTGCAATGTTATGATGCAAGGGAGGATGTGCAATTAAAACATTGTAATTATATTTATTTTTAAATAACCAGTCCGAACTTTTGTGTCATTTAAAGACAAATTTACGGTCCGAGACACGCAATTTGCGCGTGCATCCGTATATATTTTAAAGCCTTCTGCGTTACATCTTCATTTACATCTTAAAACATCACTCCTAAAACTAAACTCTTTGGTTCTTTCGGTAAAGTCACGTCGGTATAAAACATAAAAATAAAACATTGCCACGAGTCGAAATCCACAGACCGGATAAGCGCCAACCGACCCAGCTCGGCTACCGATTGGTCAATGGCAGCGCGCCGTTGGAGCGCGTGCATTTCCATTGGCTCAAACAAACTCGCAGCGACCAATCGCGCGACGCGGGCGCGGAGGCTCCGGCCAATGCGTGGTGGGAAATGTGAACGCTTTAAAAAAACGAATGTGTCGTGCGCACCTCCATCACCACCGCCGTCTCCGCTTGGCGCTGCGAAGCACTCGCTCCGCTGGCGGCCCTCGTGAAGTAGTGGCTGATCCCCTGCTGCTGCTGCTGCTTGGCCCGCGGCGTGGCAGACGCCTTGGCTATTTTGCTTCTGTTGCGCGGCATTTGCGTTTTGTAATTAGGCCTCTCCGTGGCAGGTGAAGACGTCCACAGCGTTCAGCTACGGGAGCCGAGAGGCGCGAGGCCTCATCTTCGATGCTCCGCCCACTCACCATGATGCCCCGCCCACTCATCACGATGCCCCGCCCACTCATCATGATGCCCCGCCCACTCATCACGATGCCCCGCCCACTCATCATGATGCCCCGCCCACTCATCAGGATGCCCCGCCCACTCATCATGATGCCCCGCCCACTCATCATGATACCCCGCCCACTCATCACGACGCCCCGCCCACTCGTCATGATGCCCCGCCCACTCATCATGATGCCCCGCCCACTCGTCATGATGCCCCGCCCACTCATCATGATGCCCCGCCCACTCGTCATGATGCCCCGCCCACTCATCACGATGCCCCGCCCACTCATCACGATGCCCCGCCCACTCATGATGCCCCGCCCACTCATCATGATGCCCCGCCCACTCATCATGATGCCCCGCCCACTCGTCATGATGCCCCGCCCACTCGTCATGATGCCCCGCCCACTCGTCATGATGCCCCGCCCACTCACCATGATGCCCCGCCCACTCATCACGATGCCCCGCCCACTCACCACGATGCCCCGCCCACTCATCAGGATGCCCCGCCCACTCATCACGATGCCCCGCCCACTCATCACGATGCCCCGCCCACTCATCATGATGCCCCGCCCACTCATCATGATGCCCCGCCCACTCATCAGGATGCCACGCCCACTCATCATGATGCCCCGCCCACTCACCATGATGCCCCGCCCACTCATCATGATGCCCCGCCCACTCATCATGATGCCCCGCCCACTCATCATGATGCTCCGCCCACGCATCATGATGCCCCGCCCACTCATCAGGATGCCCCGCCCACTCATCACGATGCCCCGCCCACTCGTCGTGATGCCCCGCCCACTCATCATGATGCCCCGCCCACTCACCATGATGCCCCGCCCACTCATCATGATGCCCCGCCCACTCATCATGATGCCCCGCCCACTCATCATGATGCCCCGCCCACTCATCAGGATGCCCCGCCCACTCATCACGATGCCCCGCCCACTCGTCGTGATGCCCCGCCCACTCATCACGATGCCCCGCCCACTCATCATGATGCCCCGCCCACTCATCAGGATGCCCCGCCCACTCATCATGATGCCCCGCCCACTCGTCATGATGCCCCGCCCACTCATCATGATGCCCCGCTCACTCGTCATGATGCCCCGCCCACTCATCGTGATGCCCCGCCCACTCATCATGATGCCCCGCCCACTCGTCATGATGCCCCGCCCACTCATCATGATGCCCCGCCCACTCATCATGATGCCCCGCCCACTCGTCACGATGCCCCGCCCACTCATCATGATGCCCCGCCCACTCATCACGATGCCCCGCCCACTCATCATGATGCCCCGCCCACTCATCAGGATGCCCCGCCCACTCATCACGATGCCCCGCCCACTCGTCATGATGCCCCGCCCACTCATCAGGATGCCCCGCCCACTCATCATGATGCCCCGCCCACTCATCATGATGCCCCGCCCCCGCCCACTCATCATGATGCCCCGCCCACTCATCATGATGCCCCGCCCACTCGTCATGATGCCCCGCCCACTCATCATGATGCCCCGCCCACTCGTCATGATGCCCCGCCCACTCATCGTGATGCCCCGCCCACTCATCATGATGCCCCGCCCACTCGTCATGATGCCCCGCCCACTCGTCATGATGCTCCGCCCACTCGTCGTGATGCCCCGCCCACTCATCATGATGCCCCGCCCACTAATCACGATGCCCCGCCCACTCGTCATGATGCCCCGCCCACTCATCATGATGCCCCGCCCACTAATCACGATGCCCCGCCCACTCGTCATGCTGCTCCGCCCACTCATCATGATGCCCCGCCCACTCATCATGATGCCCCGCCCACTCGTCATGATGCCCCGCCCACTCATCATGATGCTCCGCCCACTCGTCGTGATGCCCCGCCCACTCATCATGATGCCCCGCCCACTCGTCATGATGCCCCGCCCACTCATCATGATGCCCCGCCCACTAATCACGATGCCCCGCCCACTAATCACGATGCCCCGCCCACTCGTCATGACGCTCCGCCCACTCATCATGATGCCCCGCCCACTCATCATGATGCCCCGCCCACTCATCATGATGCCCCGCCCACTCGTCATGATGCCCCGCCCACTCATCATGATGCCCCGCCCACTCGTCATGATGCTCCGCCCACTCATCGTGATGCCCCGCCCACTCATCATGATGCCCCGCCCACTCATCATGATGCCCCGCCCACTCATCATGATGCCCCGTCCACTCGTCATGATGCCCCGCCCACTCATCGTGATGCCCCGCCCACTCATCATGATGCCCCGCCCACTCGCCGTTCTGCTCCGCCCACATCTAGCTGATCCATCGCCACGTGCTTTTCAGCAGGCGTTTTCTTCCCTTGTCAGTCTCGGCCACCACTGCCCCCCCCCCGGAGCTCCGTCCGTCATCCCTTCTCGATATGCGCCCTATTCTAGCCGCCTGCACTTAACCGTCAATTCGATGTCCCTAATCTGCGTATTTTCTACAATCCTTGTGTGCCTCTTCATGTCTCTAATCAAAGCGTGCACCTATTCTTGATTATTTGTGTCCCAAACAAATGTGTGGTTTATAAGCCTGATAGGGACATTGCGAGTGGTACTGAATATCTCATAAATACCTCTCTAAAGGCTACCACGGTAAATTCAATTCTAAAATGGGTCATGTTCATATCAAGGCTTACAATACTTTGGAATGTTTCTATTGCAAATACTTTTGGAATATCGATTTAAAGCTTTCGTGACTGCAGGGATTCGTCTTCTTGGTTCTTTCGGTAAAGTCACGTAGACGGGAAATAAAATAATAAAAGTAATAGAAATAAAAAATATTTTTTTATTATATTTTATATTATTTTATTATGTTTAAATTTTATTTATTTTATTATTTCCCTTCTACGTTTCTTTACCGAATGAACCAAGAAGACTTTTGGAATACTGCATTGTTTTCCCACTAAAATATACACCATTACTAGGAATCAAATCCCATATTAAATGGTAGAATATGTAAATTAGTTTAATCCATGTACCATTTGTATAAATCCCCTTTCTGTTATATACGAAGTCCCTTCCATCGAACGTTATACACAAATTATACCACAATGTGGCGTTGCAGAGCTCTTGTCGGCAAAAGGTTTGCCCTTGTCGCTTTAACTTGCACCAGCAGGCGAATCGCTATCATTCACGTAGTCCCGTATATGTTTGAGATGGCAAGAGTAAGGGATGGGCTTCTGTAGCATTTCAAGATAACAACATCCAGTATTTTGCAACAAGTCATAACACAGCCTTCCTTGTAAACTTCAACGTCCGTGCCACTTTGTTTTTTACTATCAACAGTGCGGTGCCAAAAAGTTTCATTTACAAAAATCAAATTTCCTGACAATGAGAAGTTTTGTATTGAAATTGAGAATGACTGAGCATCTTTACCTTTCATCTCAGCAGGGCCAGGTGGCACGGATGACAACCTGATCCGATTTGCCAGACCAGCAATCACAAGGGTGGTCTGAAAATTTCACATCGAACCATTTTCCTAAAATAGGCAACTCTTATTGAAGGAGCCAATTATAATAAAGTTGTCACTGCAATGCGAAGGGATATGGAAAGCAACGCATAAAAGACTTCGCATGTTTCATTTAATTTGCTCTGTAGAATAACGGCACATGTTTTCGAGGTCGGAAGCTATTTTATTTAGCAGCATGCAATTCCCACTCCTGAATAGCTTACATGCAAATTTGGGGAAAATAATTGCCACAATGGAGAGTAAACATGACTTTCTAATGCCTTCAGAAGATGTTGTGTAATGAGGCACAAAATTGAATTGTCCTAAATTTTTGTCTTCAGCAAATTGCATCCCTAGCCTAAAGGATTTTGAAACTTGACAATTATGGTTTACTGTGGTTTGAAAGAATGCATTGAGCAGCCTTACAATGTTACCATTACTAATGTTATCTTTTAAAGAGTAAATTACTTGTTGAAATGTATCATATATAATGCACATAAATACATTGCTTCATTGTATGTATGTTTGCAACACTGCAGTACTAATATCAGTATTCACATTTGTGGCCTCTTTGTGTGTTCATGCCACAGTCGCCCGATATATTGTTTTCAGGGTTTTTTTATTTTACCCACTATAATAAAAAAAAAATTAGTTTACGAGTACGCTGCACATGTCTGGGGACAAATATTAAGCTTAATTGGCATACACATTTAATAACTTCATGTTGCAGTGAAATATTCATAGACTTTACAAAAACAACATTTGGCACATCGGCCTTCTCTGCATCATACATTCTGCATAAAGTTATTATGACTGCGAGTACTACGCTTTGCATTGTGTACACCACAGTGTACGGGACCGCAAATGCTGCTTGGTATTTCACGCAGTGTCCTAACCTTTCTATGGTCTTCTGTGGCGCCCACCTTTCTGAGCATGTTTCTCCGCAAAAGGGCAACGACGGTGACATTTTCCCCAGAGGTAGAATCGATCAAAGTCACACAACGGCCTAATTGTTCCCAACCTCTGGTCCTTGACACGCTTTTGATTAAATATGTGAAAGTAATTAGTATTATGGTTACTTTGTGGTCCCACAATTGTTCTGGATGGAAAGGAGAAGTGTAGAAACGTTACAATAAATTCACCAGATTCGAGAAGTTAAAAATGTTTAGGATAACAGCGTAATAGCATTAGGATATTATTTTAGAAAATGTATCTCAATCCTCAGGCAATATGCATGACTAAATGTAAGTGCAGCCCCGTGTTATTGTATATATATAAATATATATAAATAATTAACATACGGTAATGTACTATTCTCTAAGCTGAACCACCGTGCTCAATCATCCAATTAAAACATATATCGTTTTGAATTAATGTCCTTGAATACAAATCATGAACTAGCTATTAATTTACTCATTATTCTCAACTTTCTTTGTTTAATTCCCACATTCATGATTTTTAAATGTCAATTGGGTGCT